ATCAGATATGATCAGTTTAAAGGACCCGAGAGGATCTTACTTCCCATATACTTGTCTACACTGTCCTTCCGTAGAAGTGTGTTAGTTACTTAGTTTGACTGCAAATCTTTCGCTGGAACGAATGAAACTAATTCGTGAGGCACTGTACGTTCCCCAGAATTATCTACTAATTTCAATATTATCGTGTGGGTTCTCCACGTGAGTGTAAGGAGTCCTAAGACACCTACTAGTACTGCTCTCTATGAGTTATGACTATATGTGTAAATATAGCATGGGTTTTAAAACTAGCGGGGTAATTTACGACAGGGAGGACCGTTTTGTGGTGGATTTTAAGGAGTTGGTGAGACGTTGGAGCAGGGTTTCACACGGTCGGGGGTTGGAAGACCAGAAGACGATATATTTGGACCAGGAAACTGGTCTGGACTAGCGGAAATGACGAGACGAGAACTTTCCAACACCTCCTGCCAAATAGTGTCGAGACCGAGCAGAGTCCAGACCTTGAGGACACAACACACTGACAACTCTTATAACTGGTGTGAAAATAGAGAGATATCAACCTGTCAGTTGATCAAAATCTGTAAATGCCCCGTCAGAGTTAATTAAACTCTCATTAGTCAGCTGGTAGTGTTAATTAGGGGCCCAAGACAGGCACTATCCGGGGGGAGAGAGTGTGACTGAGTCCCAGTAATCTGAGGAATGTCCTCTCCCTCACTGGGAAGAGTCGTGTCGAGGTATGTTAAACCCACCTCGTATTAGATCCCGCATTTTCTCGGAGCACTTCATTCGTGAGATACCGCAGTTGTAGGGGAACTTAGGAATCTGGCAGATTGTAGGACTATTAATTTGCGGACTTTTTGTTGGTCCCTGGTGTTGGAGTAATGATGTGGAATGAGGAGAGTTGTTGGCCTGGAATCCTGCTCACGTAAATATGGTTTCACATGATCAGGAGGACAGATGTTATGTCGATGACTAAACTTTGCGGTTATTTTAGTCCCCTTTATAAATAAACGGACTAAATACTTTCAAAAATGAGATCAATCATTCATGAATAGTTTGGATTAAATGTCATGCACTCATGGTTTGGTAAACGATTTTCTTTCGTGTGGTCGCGAAAGAGAAGATATGAACTTGAGTAATCTTTAAGAATGCAATAAGATTTTTTCCTGGACAAAGGCTGAAGTAGTCTGATACCTCCTGACGTTGCTCAAGTATTTGAGCTATTTAGAGCGATTTGGTAGTTATCTCCTGATTCCGGACTTCTCACGAGGCACGAAACCGCTAGAGATATGCGGTAAACTGAGTTGAAGTGACAGCTGCCTCACGTTACGCTCACCGCACTAATTTTATAGCTTTCCAACGAAGACCGTCTACTTTACCAGCCCCCTATCCCTTGTCCACCATGGGTCACACACCATCATCAAAGACTTGGACGGGTCGATGGTATTTGGATGGCTTTCACACTTTGACCCTGCATACCTGGATCTCGGTACCAACTGGAGGGAGAGAGAGGGAGGGAGATAGAGAGAGAGAGAAAGAGAGAGAGAGAGGGAGGGAGAGAGAGAGAGATAGAGAGAGAGAGAGAGAAAGAGAGAGAGAGACAGAGAGAGAGAGAGAGAGAGAGAGAGAGAGAGAGAGAGAGAGAGAGATAGAGAGAGTGTGAGAGAGAGAGAGAGAGAGAGAGAGAGAGAGAGAGAGAGAGAGAGAGAGAGAGAGAGAGAGAGAGAGAGAGAGAGAGAGAGAGAGAGAGAGAGAGAGAGAGAGAGAGAGAGAGATCTCAGTGCGGGCTTCTCCACAGAACTCCGTGAGAACATATTTCCTGGTTGCATTCCTCGCATAGTTCCACATGTTGAAATACCTGCTGTACCTTGCGTTCTAAACACACATAACCGGCAAAAAGCATAGGTGACAATCATAGTGCCGAGCATGTTTGGGTTTTGCGTGGAATTTAGGCCAATTTAATAGCGGGTACAGAGGTATTTAGAGAATACCTACTTTAGAACCCGTGAAACATCATGTGCGATAAAATAACAGTTTCCCACCGAGACATATTTTGATATTAGTAAGCACTCAATGAAAATTTACTCGAGTATTTTATAATGGCTCTATATCCTACCACTCAAGTTCACGGTTCAAACAATGAAGGGTCTATTGAATTTATAATGCACGCAATGAAGATACTAACTTACTAAGTGGCCGATATTAAGCTTTGCTTTCAATCCATCACGCGTACTGAATGGTAACTGTGTGAATTTGGCCGGACAATTGGCTACTTTAGAAATAAGTAACTCAATAATAGTTTCCCAGAAAGGCAAGCACGCACATGTTGTTATTTTTTCTAAATTTCTAAATTCAATATACCGATACCGTAATGCTCTGAGACTTTTAAGAAACGGCTCATTGCCCAATAATTTGATACATCATATTACTTCCGGACCCCTCAATTTACAAAACCTAGCACCTGAAACGATCGCACAATAACCTAATAATATATCCTCACACAATGGATTGAGGATCACAAATACTGTTAAGTCTGGTCTAATCAGAGTACTTGACTCAATTAACAGGAAAATCAGGTGTCAATATTCAGTGCCCCCCTACTTCCGCCTCCCCGTTTATAGGGACAAAGTGCTGCTAGCATTGGCCTGGGGGAACCCTGGGTAGTAGCTGGGTCACACAGACCTATAATTAGACATGATCAGCCACTTTTGTGAAGTGTCGATAATTGCTGGACACATGCCAGCGACCAGTCTCTCCTTTGTTGCATACGTAACTACATAATATGAGATATTTGCTACAAATATTTAATGGTATAGTGTATGAGTGCACATATATCCTCTCAATAAATCGTTACATACTTCATACTTCTATAGTTACAGAGGTATTCGTGCTGCTCATTACAGATAGCCGCACTGCACTGCACTGCATTAAACAAAGGACTTCATTCTGAAGTATTGCTTTTATTGTTGTATTTGGGCTAAATGTTGCGCTAAATATTTAGACAATGCAGTGATTTGAGGTTAATCACGGCCTGCAAGTTGCACAGTAATCAGGTAGCTCTAGCAGTAGCAGAGTTTATTTTAATCTGGGCCTTTTATTCGTTTCCAAAAAGGTGGCCGTATTATTTGATTAAAGAATGCTGTTCCTATAAATAAAGTATGATATTCTATTTCACTGATGGTTGGATTACTTCACCATAACTTAACTCACCACACATGAGATATGGTTGAGTTATTAAGATTGTTGCAATATCTCGAGTCAGGGTAAACGTAGTACGTGTCTTCCACAGAACAACTAAAATTGTAAATACTGCCCGTGAGACAGCAGATTATCTCGAGTCATTACATTGCAGATAGTGTAATACGGAGATCAAGCGATCAGCGAGCTCAGAGCATGTGATTTGCTCAGGAATGTGCATACCAGGCGCGCTGCTGCTAAACTGACTATTTCGAAGCTCGGCCAGGAATTTTAGGCACCTTATTTGGCTAGCCTGAATTCTTGAAATGTTTGGGCTGACATTAAAATTTGGCACATTTTTCAGGCTCCCGGGTCCCTATTGTACCATCGGCAAACGTGGAATTTGTTGTTATCTCCGATTATGTGCGGAATTTGAAGATTGTTCGTACACAGCTCAGAGAAGTAGCGGGTAAGCAGAAGCCAGAAAAGGAAAGAAAACGGGAAAATCCACCGTTGGAATGTGTTTTAATACTGTTTACCTAAAACGGGACCATGAGTACGAGTTAAGGCTATGAACCCACATACCTATCTCTCCTACTGCATCAAATATTTCATTTTTCGCGAATTTTGAGGTATTCATACCTTTATTGAGCTGCTGGTATTTCGACCAGGAATTCCTCAAACCAAGAACTTTGGCCTGAAGTATGCCAAGAATTTGACAATTGACCTTTAATCAGCGCGTGTCAACACTTGGAAGGTATGAAGCCATTTTTCACATACCTAAAATCTGCCAAAAATACTTTCGTGCCGCATTTTATGAGGGGAATGATAAAAGAGCGCACAGTTCTCAGAAAGCACAGTTCTAAGAAGTTCTGATCAAGTTGTTGGAAAAAATCACAACAATTTGATCGAATTACGGGATCCAGTTACCGCTCACCAGAAGTAATTATGTAAAACGGAAAATAGTAAAAAATTATTTTCATGCTTACCATAATTGCAGTAATTCGGCATCACTAAGTGATGTGCGGGCGACATTTTGTTATTTTGGTAAATTGACATAAGTCACGGCGTTCTTTGTGCCGCAAATGTTAAAAGAATAATGTTTAAAACTTTCTCCTAATACAAACTCAGCCGTAATTATCCACATCAGATGTGAGCTTATGTGGCCCGACGTCGCTCTCTCTCTCTCTCTCTCTATAGGACACAGGCGTGATAAATACAGTCCTTACAAATTACAGAACGTCTAGGAAATTAATTTCGGTAAAAACGTGGCAAGAAATACTAATTTGTTGATAATCGTGTTGTAAATATCATTGGTAAAAATTTAGGCTGCAAATCCTCAGATTACAGTGTTGTGGCTGGATATTCGATCTCTATTTTGGAGTAGCTGGAGATGCAAACTGCGTGATCTACGCCGAACAACGCGTTTCTATTTTAAGTTTTCATTATCTCAAACACACACGCAAACTGACCTGAAACCATCAGAGTGACTGATAAAGAGAGTCATTTGATGAAAGATTGAACTACTCTGCGTATACTTTGCTCCCATAACATGATGATGTGGCTTCATCAGCTCATACTTGATTTACATTTGAATAAGTGGAGCTCTCCTTGTAGCTCATATGGTTTCTTTATTCTATCTCCATAAATATATTATGTGGTTTGCTAGATTACACTGTGACTCAACTCGTCACTTGTAAGCTACCTCTTCGTGTCAGTTTACGGAACGCGCCGTAACGAAAATATAAACAAATGATTCTGCATTGGACATATTATTGAGCCGCGCATATCCCTCGCAACGTGGAAAATTAAAGAAAGACACATGGTTACGAAATCACAATAGAAAGTAATCTTCAGACACGTACACACATTCAAAAGCTATTATCAAATACTTGAAATCAACAATCAAGGCCAGCTTGATTGAAAACTTAATTTGAAACTATGAATCAAGCCAATTATTTTAACTAGAATACATGGTATCAAACCCGATGTTAAAAATCAATTTGCAACATAAATACGCTCGTTTAAATGTCATCATCAAATTCGTATAATAAAATCCATTAGCAATTATTGCTTAACAAGTAACACATGTTGTTCAGCCCATGATATTGTCCAGTCCACATTGTTAATCTGATTCAATGTCCGAGTCAAACTCCCACACCTATAAGAGAGAGATAACGATTAAATAAGGCGTGGTTTCTCTTATTCATTTATCAGCCCTACCTGCACGTCAGCAGGAGTTCGAGAAGTAAGATAAACAAAAATAGAAAAACTTAAACGTATTAAAAATTATAGTAAAAACCAAATATCATATTTCATGTTATCTTTTCATGTTATCTTTCATGTTATGTAATCTACCCAGAAATTTGGGAGGAGCAAGCAATATATTGATACGTACATCATCAAAGTTGGTATTCTCGAGCATGTCAGCCAGTCCTGATACTTTTTCTAGATAATTAGCGTCGTTGAAAGCCTCCATCAGGAACCCCATTTTATTTTCACGGTATCTGGAGATTATCTGAAATTATATAAATTGTAACCCTCTCCACAACAACCCCTCCCACGCGTTTCTCCGTCCGTGATAACGTTCCATGTAGTACACTTATAGTAGACAACAGTGACCGGTATATCAGAAAAATAATAATAATACCAGGAAGAAAATTAATAAATATCACGGGGGAAGCTTTGTTCGTGACGGCAACACTATTAAAGTAATTATCCGATAAAAGATAAGAGTTGATATATGTTCACCTCCATGCAGCAGGCGGTGCACTTGTCGAATGCGTGAGAGGCAGGCTGAACAGAAGAAAAGTGTGCCAGAAAACCCCTAATTTGGTGTGGCACTCTGCCCAAACAACTGTCTTGCTTCTCGTCGTTTAGATCTAGAGTCGCTGGAGCCTGTCCCTAATTTATCAGTATGTTAGTATATCCTAACAGTGCAATATCATTTGTCGCAAATCAGAATAATCAGAAACTATTTGGAAAACCCAAAAACTGTCTATGTTAGTATACAGTACACAAATTTGGCGCTCCCAATTTTAAAGTTTCAGGGCGAAAAAATTAGAATTATCGAATCTTTAATTCCATATTCTCCTGGTAACATTGTTATTTGGTAATGTTGACATTGAAATGAGACAAAAATGAATTTTATCCAACCTCGAGTGGATGCTGGAGAATAGAGACCATGAGTTCAACAGCCAGCGAGGCTGCCACGAAAGCGTTTCCGGGTCGGGTCACAGTGCACATCTGATCCAAGGTCCTGTCTTTAGTGGACTGAGGATAAATATTATAACACATTATTATAGGTGTTTAAAATAGCAATTACATATGACTTTTGTTCTATTATTGTTTTTGTATGATTTTTTATATAATTACTGTTAAGAGTTTGCTATTATCGCCTTGATGCGACAAAGGGAAACACTAGCTCTTTTAAATAAAGCCTCTGTTTTTCTTTGTCGCAACAATGTAATAATAAGAAATTCTGAGCAGTAATCATTACAAATGCGAATCATCAGTCATATTTCTATCCGGTAACTTCATTGTTTTTAAAGATTAATGTTAAAAATCTGAATATTAATAGAACAATTGCTCTGTGATTTGTGAACTATTACAGCTCTCATCTCGTGGAATTACGCTGTCGTTAAAAAGTATCAGTCAAGTTGGGAGCCAGATATGGTGCTTTATTGATATTTGAAATTCTGTGGAACATTACCTAGTAAGTACTTGATAAACCGAGCTTCAAGTTAATCTATCAGAAATTAAGGAACAAATAAAAACCATTAGAAAACAAAACAAAAGAAATTAAATCTATTCTTATCATTTTATGTTAACATCAGTAATGCTATTTTGTATGTTAAATATTTCCTCTCGAAGGTAGTTACCATAATTATAGGCTCCATTAGTAAACTAACCGAGCTTCAAGTTAGTTTAATCTATCAAAATTTAAGGAACAAGTAACATTTAAAAACTATTCGATTCGATTACAAATGAATCAGATATGAAATATTCCCACGTTATCAAATACAGTTTACTGCTAACAAAAATGCATTTATGTCACTTCGTGTCCAATATCTCAATCCAGGACTTTGGGTTGAACATTCCAAAACTCAAGCAGTACAACATTTCCTCAGGAGTTGTTCTCCTGCTCGAGTTCAGTGTTGAACTTGCTAACAATGATAGTCATGGGTAGAGCCAACATGACAACACCTAGACAAAGAACCACCGAGCCCACCAACTTTCCCACAAGTGTCACCGGATACATGTCTCCAAACCCCACTGTTGTGATTGACACCAGCACCCACCAGCAGGACATGGGGATGGAGGAGAACTGGGAACTGGGACCTGAACCATCGGGATCGTGATGACTTTCAACGTTTTCAAGGTAGTACATTATCGAGCCAAATGTGATGACGAAGAGAAACATAGCTATAAAGAGTATGACGAGTTCTTGTCGAGCTTTTCCCATTGCTCTCATGATTCCTACAAGACCCTGTGAGTGACGCAGAAACTTGAAAACTCTCACCACACGCACTAGCTTCAACGCACGGAGAATAGCGTAATTGCCATCATCTGCGTTTGATGTGAACGCCCATTGGACCATCTCTATGTAAAACGGAAGCACAGATATTACGTCCAGTAAGTTCATGATACTTTTCCAGTAGTCGGTAAACTTTGGCCAGGTTACCATTCTTAGGAATGAATCTACGGTGAACCAGAGGATTGTCATCGCATTCAGCGAAAGGAGGCATAAGTTGATTTTTGAGTCACTCACCTTTGATAAATCAAATTTGTCTTCAAGAGAATCCTCTGACTCCAAGAGAAACAATATTGTTCCCACAACGATCATTACAATGTCCGTCACGTGGTAAATAGATGCCAAACCCCTCTTTGGAGGGTTGACCAGAAATTTGTGGATCGCCATTTTCGTGGCCGCACAGCAAAGATTGGAACCGTCCTTTGTGATGCTCTCCTCAATCTCGATGACCGTGTCTTGTGGTTTATACAGACCGTAGAATACCTTTTCTGCCTCGTAAATCTCGAGGTCAATGAATGGCGGAGGGCATTCTACCCCAGTTTGATAAAACTGAAGGATTGACTCAAAACACGACATGTGCCTGTCAAGGTAGAAAGCATCTAGTTGCTGAGAATACAGGGCTTGCCGCTCCTCCGGATTTGCGAGTAACGAGTCAGGGAACCGACTCAATGTTTCTTCTGTTGTTACATACTGTAAACCTGAGCAGTTTATGTATATGAGGTTACTATCCGGTGCTTTTCCGTCTATTGTGAGTAGATCCTGCTCTATCTTGTTCCTCAACAATTTCTCAGGTTTATCAAGCAATTCTGGAGACATATTATTAGATATAATTGCACTGGCTGGAGACATCTTTGAGACATTCATACTGACTGGAGACATCCTAGAGACATGCATACTGGGTGGAGACATCCTGGAGACATTCCTACTGGCTGGAGACATCCTAGCGTAATTTATATCAGCTATAGTCATAGACCGCTCAAAGTTTTTGAGAATGCTTTTTCTTTGTAAGGGAGATAAGCCATTCACTTTGGCATCGGCGTTGGGGCTTTGTAATGGACTATACCGTCCCTTTTTCAATTTGTTAATGTAATCAGCCCTTCTTTCACTTTCCACAGGGGTAGCAGCACCTCTACTTTTCGAGCCAGCAGGACTAGAATGTAGCATTGAGTTTAGATGCATTATTGATAATACTATGTCTAACCCAGAAAGAAAGTGTACCGAGGTTCAAAACGATGATCTTTGTGACAAAGAGCCAAGAGGAAATTACTATGGTAAACTGAGCTTACTAATTTCCTTAAATATTGCTTTCCATCAATAATATCAATCGGGAAATATCGATAAATTGATAAATGCAGAAATAAAAGGAACATGGAAGAGCATGGACGTTTTAATAATCACTTTAAAGATAATTAATTAAATCTTGACTTGATTATTGGTTGAGTCCAGTGAACACAATCGCTTTGATTAGAAAGTTTGGAAATCAAATTAACTTTATTGACATACACGGAGATAATGAGAAGTCAATGGATAGATAAGAAGTATTTTATCTAGAAGATCGTAGTTCATTGCTTCTGAAGTAGCTATCAGTTCGCCGGTCAATGTTGGGTACAATACTCTTGTGATAAGTAGCAAGAACCAATTGCATTCTAGAAGACAAGGAAATTTAATCCTTAAAATAAAAAGATATCAAGTAAATATACCAGTTACTTAAAACTATAGTATAATAGTTTTAAGTCACTGGTATATTTACTTGATATCTTTTTATTTTAAATATTTTAAAAACCAAGAAGAACATTTGGGCAGGTAGCCCTGGTCGGTACTCTCTCCGATAGAGCCTGCTTATCTATTGTACCGTGAAGCTTAATTTATAATTTCTACAGGGACAATGCCGGAACATGTTTAGTGTTAACTTATCTTAATCTACTTAATTAATTAACCCCCTCGTACCATACCCAACACCCCTCGTACCATACCCAACACCCCTCGTACCATACCCAACACCCCTCGTACCATACCGGTACCCAACACCCCTCGTAGTCATACCCCAGATCGTACATTCTTGAATAATGTAATAATCTTAATGCCCTATAAAATTATTATTGCTATAATTGATTTAAATACAAATTTGTTGTTTCCTCGAAATCTGTTGTCTCCTAGAAAAGTGAACATTATAGGACTGTAACAACCACTCAGTGAATTATAACTTACGTCTCCAGGAGCTACAACGTCATTACAAAAGTAGCACCCAAGCTGGGAGCCAGCTATAGTGCTAGCACCAATATGAGGGGCTTCCAGCACCTCGCACTCCCCCTTAACACCGTGCCTCATCACCAGGTAAGTATCGAACCCAAGTGCACTGTTTATACAGATCTGGGGGAGAAAATACCGACTGAGTTTCATAACCAGTCGACAATTATAACGGGCGACAATTCCAAACTTAACATTGTGTAATATGCTGAAATTTCATTTCTTATCATTATTATTCTTGTTTTCTGGAAAAGGTTTTTTCCCAAAAAACCTTGTGTTTGGAAGAGCAGATAAGAGTAGGGAGCCAGCGTGATTCCCGGGTATCAGTTAGCAAGAACACCACATCCACCGAGTCAATCAGCTCCTCTAACTCAGTTATACTCTCCTTCACCTTCTCCTCTTCTGACACAAGATCAACAGTTAATTGGGGGTATCGTCAGCCAGAGATAAATCATAACCCATTCCATCGGTTCTATCAGCTTAAAAGAGATTAAAGAGCTTATATTTTGAGACTATTACCTAATTTGGTGACAGGATGACCGGGCATGGGGATTGACAAGGCAACCCCGCGGGACTCAGCGCTAGGGTTTATCTGTTTTATCCGCGCTGCAGCAGTCTCCGCTTTTGGTTTACCGCAATCATCAAAGTTGAAGAGGCTCTGCCTGACAGGGTTACTGTACGAGACCTTACCGTTATCTAGCATAGTTATATTCTTTACTCCCCAGCCCTGGAGATTAGAAAAGAAGAGGTTAGCAAAATTAGGGCATTTTATATGTTTTACAGTAAACATTTATAAAGAATTAATTTTTTTCTTGAGTAAATTTTATCGCATTAATGACTGTATCACATTACAAATCACAATTTAATTGTTGTTGTCGATCTGGGAGGTGTCGGCGGTTCTAATGACCATTTACAAAAATATAATAATAACATAATATAATTACATAAAAATTCTTAATTCTTGATACTAAATACCTGTAAGCTGCAAATTGTAGGACACGTACTTATAAATCAACAAATTGTCTCCAAATATCACAAAAAACATAAGATCGGAAAAAAAGCAACGAAAAGTTGGCGAACATACCAGTAAGCACCGTGCCATTTGTATAGTAAACATTTATATAGAATTTATTTATTTTTGAATCAATTTTCCAGAATTAATGACTGTATCACATTACAAATCACAATTTAATTGTTGTTGTTGATCTGGGAGGTGCCGCGGCGGTTGTAATGACCATTTACAAAAATATAATAATAACATAATATAATTACATAAAAATCCTTAATTCTTGATACTAAATACCTGTAAGCTGCAAATTGTAGGACACGTACTTATAAATCAACAAATTTTCTCCAAATATCACAAAAAACATAAGATCGAAAAAAGAAGTAACGAAAAGTTGACGAACATACCAGTAAGCACCGTGCCACATTGCACCCGAGAGTGCCACTACCCAGCACCAGCACTTTCAGCTTCTGCAACACCTCCAGATTCAGCTCAGGGAGAAGTCTCCAGCGCATCAGTTTCAAGTTCAGATTAACTGATGATTCGGAGATCCTGCCGGAGGAAATTTTGATGGTGTTTTATATCAAATAAAAAAATCTCTGCTGAGATCAGATGTTTTATTAGTGTTCCTTGTGTAAGAAGGTCTACTTGTGGTTCCACAATCTATCTTACTATTCTATCCTTGCCGAACTCTACCATTGCAATAATTACTCCAGTTTAACTAAAGACGTTCAGCGTCATACGTTTTCATTGGCGGCACCAAGCCTTGTTAAACAAAGCAACTATGTATCTAATACTTGCCTGATGAAGTTAGGGGCATAATTGGTCATAATGTCATAATTTACCTATATTATAGTACATAGTATCTTTTCCCTGCATTTTCATACATAAAGTTTCCTTTGACTAACGAGTTTAGGAATGGGGAGGGGCGACATCAGAGTAATTTATCTAACGTATCGATAACTGCATTTAACTATCTAGGGACTTAAGTTTAAGAAATGTTGTGGAACTTTTCAAACCCAGAGATTTGGAACAAGCGGCGAGTGATTACTATTATATATCTTAGTGAATTAAAAGTTAAACAATCCTGATTCAATTTTAATGGTTTTATCCATCTTAAATATTATGGCAGAGTAGGGTTATTATTAAAAACAGCACTCCATGCTATCTATCTTGATGCGATCTTATTACAATATGCTGCTTACTAACTGTGATATTATGGCAAATAATTCCATGAGTTCTAATCTTGCCTCATCGGTTAAGTGTCACGTAAACGAGGAGGAGCTATATGAAAATTATTTAAAATTAACTTCTCGGACATAGCCGTTTGATGTCAGTCAATGAGCCGCGGTATGTTACTATATAATACATATCATGGTTATCTGTTTGTTAGCTAAGTTTCCAAAGTCACTTAAATATGTATTGTATATTATTTGTCTTTCACGAAATATATTTGTTTGCAACACCAGGAGGCCTGGTCAGTGGTCACTTTAATCTTATTGAGTACACTACTTTTGTACTTTATCTAAGACTGAGACATGTCTCATGTCCTGTTCCCTCATTTTTCTGAAAAATTTGGAGCAGGAGTGTACATTGTGGACAACGACAACCCCACATGTGAGGAGTCATACCACCTAGGAATCAACTCAACCGTCTTCCAGGCCGAAACCTTTGCCGTAGGCACTGCGGCAAAAATATTACGGGAATCTGGGACCAAAACTAGGAAAATAATCATAAACTGCGATAGCCAGGCGACAATAATGGCAATGAGCAACATCAAAGTCAAATCTAAAAGCACCAGCACGGCTATAAGTGAGCTTAACCAAATAGCAATGGACAATCAAGTCCTACTACGATGGATACCAGCTCACAAAGGCTACGATGGCAACGAAAAGGCAGACTCTCTTGCCAAAAAAGGCTCCGACAATCTGGACTCCGTTCAAGTGCAACTACCAATACCAAAAGTATTATGGAAGGGAGCACTGCGGAGTATAAGTCATCGGAAGATGAGGGAAAGATGGAGAACTTTACCCAACACTCACTTTAAACGAGTATGGGGACAAAAGTTCGCCAGATCAATCCCGAAACTTGGCAAAGAGAGCACAAGAACAGCAACACAATTCCTCACGGGACATTGTGAATTAAACTATCACATCAATAAGTACAAGCCGACAACTGTCCCTAAAACCTGTCCACACTGTCTCATGGAAGAGGAGACAATGAACCACTTTATTGGTCAGTGCCCGAAATGGTCTTACCAGCGAGGAGGATACTTTGACTCCTTCTACCTCAGTGTGACAGATATAGTGGACAAGTTCTCATTACCAAGGATCATCGGCTTTATACAAGCAACAAAACGTTTTACCAAATGTGGAGAGGACAAGGCTTAACCTTGCTTTCTGCACAGATTAACTTTACCGGGGTAAGCACAGGGCTTCAATGCTCTATCTTATAGTGGTTTTGATCTATTCCTTAGTAGTAAAGACCACTGCCCCCTACGAAGAAGAAGATCTTATTACAATATGCTGCTTATTAACTGTGATATTATGGCAAATAATTCCATGAGTTCTAATCTTGCCTCATCGGTTAAGTGTCACGTAAACGAGGAGGAGCTATATGAAAATTATTTAAAATTAACTTCTCGGACATAGCCGTTTGATGTCAGTCAATGAGCCGCGGTATGTTACTATATAATACATATCATGGTTATCTGTTTGTTAGCTAAGTTTCCAAAGTCACTTAAATATGTATTGTATATTATTTGTCTTTCACGAAATATATTTGTTTGCAACACCAGGAGGCCTGGTCAGTGGTCACTTTAATCTTATTGAGTACACTACTTTTGTACTTTATCTAAGACTGAGACATGTCTCATGTCCTGTTCCCTCATTTTTCTGTCCGAATCGCACCTGATAGTCATTAACTCCCCCCCCCCCCCCTTCTTTATTATGTACAGCCACAGCTGTTTTCAAGAATCTGACCATTAGCCAATGTTTGGTGCTGTGCTCAGTAACTACTTTGTAGTCCTCTTTTTGATCAACGTTTTTTAAATTGAAAAAGTGAAACTGGAACTCATTGCTCCAGCCAGTTTGGAACACTTTTAAAAATCTGAACTAATCTTTTTCGCTTAATAATTACTAGCTACTCTTCGGAAGCTTAAGGTTCCGCGGATATGTGCTCCATGGTGTTTAACTAAAGGGTGCGCCTTAGCAATGACCTGTACGACTTCGCATGTAACCGTCCGCCGACCCGGCTGAGGGGCGAGCAACGTCTGACAAGCAATGACACATCCATTATGACCAGGTTTTAAATGTTATTATATGGGAAGGGGTGAAACGACTACCTTTCACTGCGACTAATGTATAATATGTAGGGGACTATTTCCCCCCTTTTTTATTTGGTCATCTCCAGTCTCCACACGCTTTAAATCAAACTACCTTTACAAGAATATTTAGCGATATTGAATGACTAAGACTAATCGACGATTATTGTTTCTTCAAAATTAGTCGTTGCATCGTTAATTGTATAATGTATATTCATATGATACACAGTATTATTTAAGAAAACTGAAAAGAGTTAATACTTAAGATTCTTACTTTGCAGGATCCATAGAAGCGGATAGATCAACAAATTTAGAAGTTAGTTTTCCTTTCGTATTCCGTTCCCATCCGACAACTTTAGGCATCCCTGCAAATAATGACCAGGTGAAATGTGATGCTACATTTTATTAACATTTTTCGACGATAAAATTCACAGGTGAGAAATATTTTTCTCTTAGCAGTTGTAAAGTTGTAACCATAGCAACGCTTCATTTAAATCAAATATCGGATTGATGATTAGAATCGTGATTTCTCAGCATAATCTGTGGCCAGAACCTCTGCAAAATTTGAAATGCTGCAAACTACTGATTTGAACATTTCACACTCGGTTACCGTTAACGGAAATCATTTTTCTGTTTTACAGTTTATCTAATTGTACCTGTTGTTGTAATACCTGTGTTTGAGAGGGGCTCAAGTTCGACCTCCAGATACAGGGAGTGATCTACACTCTGCTGACCCGCTACCTTGTTTTCTCGTAGACATATCACTTTTACTACTTTCTTCTCTTTTCTGATGACAATTGTAGAGTTTATATACTACAGAGTGTAGGACTACTGTGATCTAACAAGAGCGTCATTGCGATCGTTCATGAAGTGAGATGTTGTCACGAATTGATACGTTAGTTTTAACAATATTATATATAGAGGAAAAATCTATATTTATGTTTATTCGATCACAACAGATTTTTAAAAACTTGGGAGCATTCATTCAGATCATCGCTAAAGGGATGGTGGCTTCGAAATAATGGTACAGTAAAAACCCGATTTAGCTCACCTCAATTAAACGCAAACCCCGATTTACCGCTGTCACTCCCCAAATGGAATGTTAACAATCAAAATCGGAATTACCCCATACCCCGATTTACCGCGGCGTTTTCCTTTCCATTGTAAATTTAAGTTAGTACTAATTATGTAGTCAGCCCACAATAACTAGGTGTTAAGGAGGGGGTGGCCGCAAGTTATTGTTTGTTGAACCATATTGTTATGACATGGTACAATACACCCGCACCCGACAAACAATGGCTGTGGAAATGGCAGGCATATTGTTCACTTACAGATGGAAGGAGACCAGAGCTAATAAGTTGCGTAAAGGCCAGCCAGGGTGTTCACTGTCCGTACTAGGATCCTTTATCAGCACGTACTCCTGAAAATGTTAACTTTACTATATCTCTTCTCTGTCCACAACAATGTGTTTTATAAAATATCTGTGTTTTATAAATTATGTGTTTTATAAAATAATTTGTGATTAGATGGTAAGTTAATTGTAGTTCCTTGTAGACTATCAGCTAGCTCATCAGTTCCATACGATATGTTTTCACTTGTTAACGTAGTAACAACTACTCAACAAGTAGTTTCTGAGAAAACAAGAGTTTGTCACGTGATAGCAGGAACCTTGTTGATTGGCCGATGGTAACGATCTTGGCCTGGCTTAGCTTCCGTGAAATTTATTTAGACAATAGCTGGCTTTGTTTATGTAAAGATGAGATGGTTTACCGTCATTGACATTATGCGAGCTTGACTGCAGAGTGTAGACCTACATAATTCGATCGAGAGAACAGGTGCTGACTTGGTTAATTAGGCATGTATCTGTTATTGCATGTTTAATTATTCTTTTGATTACGTGCAAGCACGGAAATACAACTTCAACAGATTGGTGTCACTCACGTTTTATTCGCTAACGTTTTCTTGCTGACAAATATGATTTGCTCTTGCCCCGTTCTATCAAAAATCACATTTTTCAATATAACATATTCACGGAATAAAATCTGCTACGGTTTAATAGCTTAATGATAAAACGTATTACCATGTTGGAGATAGCATTGTTTTTGTCTTGTATCACGTTTTGTTCTTTGTCTAAAAACGTTGCCCCTGAAAGATTGACACGTTTTAAAACGTTTTTTTATTATTGCCTTCGGACAATATTTGTCAATGTAGCTTCTTTCTTTCAACTTTTCCCAATTTTAAATACGAAATCGGTACTATCCCAATTCCCATGCCATGATAACTTAATTGATAAGGCAGTGATAGATTTTGAAAGATACGTGAGACGGATTAATGTTCCTTGAGGCTCGAATCCCACAAGTAATCGTCAGAGTAAAGTATGCGCGCGTATGTGGCATGCGTGAGCGCCATGGTCATCAGCATTTAAATGTGTAAACTAGCAATAAAATTTGCAAGAACACAGTCGCCCAGATCAAATTGCAGTCATCAACTTAAGCTACTAACACTACAAATCTATCGATAAAGTTTATGTTTCGCATTACCTAGGTTAGCTGCTGAGCGGAACTTTTCCTTCTGTTCACTAGTAAACTTAACTCCCAGTGTGCTCCTCTCCATTACAGCAGCTGGGGTAACAAACGCGGGAAAACAGAACCAATAGTTGTACCGGTATTTCTTGAGATCTGCGAAACACACGCAGTAGAACTGGTTTATTGTCACTGGCTTCTCTACCGCACTTCCATCTTTGAATGTTGACCAGATCTGGATGGAGTTTCCCGTTATAAACCAGCAAATAAGTAGGAGAGTCTATTGAATACAAGGTTAGGCATAAAAGAAAGCACGCTGAAGCTTGATTGGTATATCACTATATCATATGATGATATAAGAAGGAAGTTGATTTTGTGTTACCTTCTCTCCGGCTGACTTAAGTATTCCACCGAAATCCTTAGCTTTAAACTCTTCGACTGTATTGGTATTGAGTACGATTCCAGTGTACGCAGTTCCCCGGTCTACCGGCTTGTCAGTAAAACTGTCGTAAGATAGCGTCAGGTGAGCTGGCAATCCTGGTTTACAGTCTGAAAATAGTAAATAGTGAACAGTTAACCGATCAGATTGACTAGAGCCGTGCAGTCACATGAACAGATGAACTTTTATAATTTATAAATGAACATATTATTCTATTATTCTCTAAAATTTAAAATTGATTGAGGAACACCACCCTGAGGCAGTACTCGGCACTTGCATTTAAATTTGTAATTACAATCAATTGAAAGGTTACCTTAGTAAAAATGTAATAAACTATCAGTAAATTGAAATAGTTCTTATCTCTTACATTAGTTTATAACAGGGTCTGAAAGAATGCTCACAGATACATTATCAGGAAAATGGCATGTAGCATTGTAAAAAGCTCTAAGGTAGTCATTATATTCCGTTCTCTATAAAAATTTTGTTGCTCGTCGCTATCAAGGTGTGATGTTCCAAATTATATAATTGTCTAATAGTATAAAATTTGAACCATTCTGCTAAAGTGCTTGTGCAGTAAGCAAATGCTTGTTGACTGTAGACTTGAATGAATTTAAGAATTTGTCTTGTAGGCAATAAAAATCGTGACGTATTTTATATATTTGTTTATAATATTGACCGTTTTGTTATTTAAATCGATGAGCCAAAAAAACTTACCGTTAGTATAAAAAGCAGTGAGATCCAGAGGTCGTTCATCCAGTTTCAGCTCATCGAGTTTTTTAGCATTGAGTTGGGTCCAAAATGTGTGATCTATAGAACTTATGAGAGGAACATATTGAACTGGAGTTGACATTACCTGTAGCTACAAATAGTAATAAACTTTATTTGGTGATAATTCAGTATAAATTTGAAATCATATTAATATTTTACATAAAATTGTCCTCTAGCTCTACTTGTTACTTTAAGGCAGTACACGCTGAGGTTTATTTCTCAGTCACTGAGTGCCTAATTGAGATAATTCTTTAGCATATGACTATCATCACTCATTTGAGGTATATATTATCGAATTAAATTATAATAACAATGTCAATTTTTACCGAATGAACGTTAATTTTCGCAGTTTTTAGATAACCCAATCAATTTTGCTAACGAGATAAACAAATCGCTTGAAAACTTCGTCATTTCAAATCCGTTTCGCGTTATCTTTGACAGTTTGTTATATTATCACTTAGTATTTGTAAAGTGATCTATTAACTACTCAACCTTCAGGGGACATATACCAAAAACTTTTATGCCGGGACCCGATATTTGACTCCATATTATTAAAATATGCATAAAAACAATAAGATTAAAAATTATTTTTGAAATCTATCAAACACGATAAAATTATTATAACAGTCACAATATTTGAACCCAAACACACTATCAATTAACTATGAATCAACATAATATGCGTTTTCAAAGATCCAACCGTCTTCACTTCAATGTCGCAGACAGTAGAGCACAGGTTTTTTCTCCTGTGTGTGTCCGTTTGTGAGCAATAAGATTACTCAATTGATTTGATTTATAATCACACAAACTGCAAGAATAAGGTTTATCTCCGGTGTGTGTCCGTTTGTGAGCAGCAAGAGTGCTCGATCGATTCGATTTATAATCACACAAACTGCAAGAATAAGGTTTATCTTCGGTGTGTGTCCGTTTGTGACGAGCAAGATCGCTTGATCGACTCGATTTATAATCACACAAACTGCAAGAATAAGGTTTATCTCCGGTGTGTGTCCGTTCGTGAATAGCACAACTACCCGATTGGTTTGATTTATAATCACACAGACTGTAAGAATGAGGTTTAACTCCGGAGTCCGCTGTGTGTCCGTTTGTGACGAGCAAAATTGCTCGATTGAATTGATTTATAATCACAATAACTGCAAGAATAAGGTTTTTCTCCGGTGTGTGTTCGTTTGTGGGCAGCAAGACTGCTCAATTGATTTGATTTATAATCACAATAACTGCAAGAATAAGGTTTTTCTCCGGTGTGTGTTCGTTTGTGGGCAGCAAGATTGCTCGATCGATTCGATTTATAATCACACAGACTGCAAGAATAAGGTTTTTCTCCGGTGTGTGTTTGTGTCTGTTTTTTCAACTTATGTCCAGTCCCAGACGGAGTGGATTCTCCAATAGATAGAGTTTCAGCCTGAATACCACAATCAGATTCAGTAGGTATAGGAACAGAAGAAGAATTTCTTTTCGCAGGTCTTATGTTCGATGGTGTTAGAGCAAGATTACAGTTATCACACTGAAGTTCTTTACAGTCCAAAGGTTCAGCTTTAGCCAGGACATCACGGAAAATCGTGACATCCTCCATCTTTGCAACTTCACCTACTTGGTTGAGGTTTTCTGAACCAGTTTCAAACTGATTATACGGCACGGCTTCAGCTTTCAGTTTGTTATTTTCGTCGTTTTCTTCACATTTCAGATTGGTATTTTCGTCGTCTTCCTCACATTTACAAGTGCATACTGATGATGACCAGGTTGAAGTAGGGTTAACTGGTTGGGCGTCTATCATCTCCTCTTTGATATCAACCCCCTCAAACTTTTCTGTTTTTTCAAGTGACATTCCTGATAGAAATTTTTGTATTTATGTTCTTTACCTCTTTAGCAAGCAGAATTAAAAATAACAGGATTATGTATTATAATTTGTAACTACTCAATCATCAAATTATTAAATAAAATATAAAATTGAGCCATAAATTGTATTTAGCAATTAACCAAAAATAGAGTACACTGTAAAGTTTGCAATATCGTTCAAATAATTTGTTGAATAACTGACAAGATTTTGGAAGTTATCAAAATTCATTCCCGAGTAAATCTATCAAACATGCTATAATATAATATAATGTTTAAATGTATTAACTAGCGAAGTTATTTTCCTGAATTTCTTGGATTAAACTATTGTTCAGATGAGGTAATATATGCCTAGATCTTATGTAGTTCAACAAATCCTCCTTGGATTTAGACTTACAGTCACAGTACTCGCAGACATACAGCCCACTATGGTCTATGAATCAACATATGCCTTTTCAAAGATCCAGCCGTCTTCACTTTAATGTCGCAGACATTACAGCACAGTACTAGTTTATCTTTGGTGTGTGTCCGCTTGTGAGCAGCAAGACTGCTCGATCGACTCGATTTATCACAAAAACTGCAAGAATAAGGTTTCTCTCCTGTGTGTGTCCGTTTGTGATTAGCAAGAGTGCTTAATCGACTCGCTTTATAATCACACAAACTGCAAGAATAAGGTTTCTCTCCGGTGTGTGTCCGTTTATGACGAGCGAGACTGCTCGATTGATTTGATTTATAATCACAAAAACTGCAAGAATAAGGTTTCTCCCCGGTGTGTGTCCGTTTGTGATCTGCAAGATTGCTCAATCGATACGATTTATAATCACATAAACTGCAAGAATCAGGTTTATCTCTGGTGTGTGTCCGTTTATGAGCAGTAAGATTGCTCGATTGATTTGATTTATAATCACACAAACTGCAAGAATAAGGTTTCTCCCCGGTGTGTGTCCGTTTATGATCCGCAAGATTGCTCAATCGATACGATTTATAATCACATAAACTGCAAGAATAAGGTTTATCTCTGGTGTGTGTCCGTTTGTGAGCAGTAAGATTGCTCGATTGATTTGATTTATAATCACACAAACTGCAAGAATAAGGTTTCTCCCCGGTGTGTGTCCGTTTGTGATTAGCAAGAGTGCTCGATCGATTTGATTTGTAATCACACAGACTGCAAGTATAAAGTTTTTCTCCGGTGTGTCTTCGTTTCTGTTTTTTCAACTTATGTCCAGTCCCAGACGGAGTGGATTCTCCAATAAATAGAGTTTCAGCCTGAATACCACAATCAGACTCGGTAGGTATACGAACAGAAGAAGATTTTCTTTTCGCAGGTCTTACGTTCGATGGTGTTAGAGTAAGATTACAATTATCACACTGAAGTTCTTTATAGTCTAAAGGTTCAGCTTTAGCCAGGACATCACGGAAAATTCTGACATCCTCCATCTTTGCAACTTCACCTACTTGGTTGAGGTGTTCTGAACCAGTTTCAAACTGATTACACAGCACGGCTTCAGCTTTGAGATTTTTATTTTCGTCGTTTTCTTCACATTTACAAGAGCATGCTGATGATGACCAGGTTGAAGTAGGGTAAACTGGTTGCACGTCTGTCATCGCCTCTTTGATATCAACCCCCTCAAACTTTTCTGTTTTTTTAAGTGACATTCCTGATAGACATTTTTGTATTAATGTTTTTTACATCTTTAGCAAGCAGAATTAGAAATAACAGGATTATGTATTATAATTTGTAACTGCTCAATCATCAAATTATTAAATAAAATATAAAATTGAGCCACAAATTGTATTTAGCAATTAACCAAAAATAGAGTACACTCTAAAGTTTGCAATATCGTTCAAATAATTTCTTGAATAACTGATAAGATTTTGGAATTTATCTAAATTCTTTCCCGAGTAAATCTTTCAAACATGCCATAATATAATATAATGTATTAATGTATTAACTAGCGAAGTTATTTTCCTGAACTTCTTGGATTAAACTATTGTTCAGATGAGGTAATATATGCCTAGATCTTATATGTAGTTCAACAAATCCTCATTGGATTTAGGACTTTAGGATTACAGTCACAGTACTCGCAGCCATACAGCCCACTATGAATCAACATAATATGCATTTTCAAAGATCCAGCAGTCTTCATTTTAATGTCACAGACAGTACAGCACAGTAAGGTTTATCTCCGGTGTGAGTCCGTTTGTGAGCAGTAAGATCGGTCGATCGACTCGATTTATAATCACATAAACTGCAAGAATAAGGTTTTTCTTCGGTGTGTGTCCGTTTGTGACGAGCGAGAGTGCTTGATCGACTCGATTTATAATCACACAAACTACAAGAATAAGGTTTCTCTCCGGTGTGTGTCCGTTTGTGATGAGCAAGACTGCTCGATTGAGTTGATTTATAATCACAAAAACTGCAAGAATAAGGTTTCTCTCCGGTGTGTGTCCGTTTGTGAGCAGTAAGATCGCTCGATCGACTCGCTTTATAATCACACAAACTGCAAGAATAAGGTTTTTCTCCGGTGTGTGTTCGTTTGTGAGCAGCGAGATTGCTCAGTTGATTTGATTTATAATCACACAGACTGCAAGAATAAGGTTTCTCTCCGGTGTGTGTCCGTTTGTGATTAGCAACAGTGCTCGAATGACCCGCTTTATAATCACACAAACTGCAAGAATAAAATTTTTCTCCGGTGTGTGTCCGTTTGTGACGAGCAAGATCGCTCGATCGATACGATTTATAATCACACAGACTGCAAGAATATGGTTTTTCTCCGGTGTGTGTTCGTTTCTGTTTTTTCAACTTATGTTTAGTCCCAGACGGAGTGGTTTCTCCAATAGATAGAGTTTCAGCCTTAATACCACAATCAGACACCGTAGGTATAGGAACAGAAGAAGAATTTCTTTTCGCAGGTCTTACGTTCGATGGTGTTAGCGCAAGATCACAATTATCACACTGAAGTTCTTTATAGTCCAAAGGTTCAGCTTTAGCCAGGACATCACCGAAAATCCTGACATCCTCCATCTTTGCAACTTCACCTACTTGGTTGAGGTTTTCTGAACCAGTTTCAAACTGACTACATAGCACGGCTTCAGCTTTCAGTTTGTTTTTTTTCGTCGTTTTCTTCCAATTTACAAGTGCAGGCTGATGTTGGCCAGGTTGAAGTAGGGTAAACTGGTTGGGCGTCTGTCATCTCCTCTTTAATATCAACCCCCTCGAACTTTTCTGTTTTTTCAAGTGACATTCCTGATAGAAATTTTTGTATGAATGTTTGTTAAGTCTTCGACAAACAGAATTAAAAATAACAAGATTATTATATAATTATATTATTATTTAAACTGTGGAGTTCCTAGCTGTTAGCGTTTTTACTTTATGGCGACAGTAGTGAAAAATAGGAGTGGCGTGCCACACCCTCTGCTCTGTAATCAATGAAATTTTGCGAAACGTTCAGAAATTCTAAGTTTGACCCATATCTATATTCTCTGAAATTTGTGTGAAATTCTGACACGAATTACGTAAGTTATTAATGGGTTGAGTGTGGGTAGTTACGTTTGGGCCACTCTGTATAATCAAATTGTATTTAGCAATAATAACCAAAAATTGAGTACACTTTAAAGTTTGCAATATCGGTCAAATATTTTATTTTGGGATAACCGACAAGATTTTGCAAGTTATCGAAAATAAAATGAAGTAAAACTGCTCGTGCTGATTTAAATCAGGATTTTCTCCCTTTTTCATACAATTCATTGGTTGCGAGATTTTACAACATTGTCTAAGTTAGGTCTCGACTAAGACTCTCAGATAATACAAGTTATCATTCCACGTAAATAAAATAATGAGTTGATTTAGGGCCAAAGTCAAACCGCGATTTATTTACGAATTCATACTTGGGCCATCAATTAATATGTTAATTAATAACATTGGCAAGATGAAAAATTCGTATTTTGACAATCTCTAGTGGTCCAAGATTTTCAAAATCGAATAAAGAATGTTCAAAGGCCTATCTCAAAACTCTGTCCCGAGTATCTCTTCTAGCATGCGATGGGGTGGCATGTGTCTCAATAGGATATTACAAAATATACATTAATTTCTAATATGTTTAAAATCATAATATTACGGTATTATAATTCAACAATATCAATAAAATATTATCCCTAGAAGATCCTTAATTTTTAAGAGTATAATATAATATTTTCTGAGCATAATATAATATTTTTTGAGTATATACAGTATATATATAATATATAATATAATGTTCCCAGTAAATTTAATGAGTAAATGCAAAATGATGTACCACAATATATTTTATAAAGTTATAACAATGAGACCATTGAGTACAATTTACAAAATTATCAACATTTAAAATTTAAATTTTCGGTATCAAACATCAAACTTAAATGATAGGGAAAAAAAACAGATGAAAACACGATAGAAATAACTGTACTAAATTATAGTCAAAGTAAAATATAAATCCAGAAATAATTGTAATTTTTGAAACATCTATGTTTATAAATTATCAAAAAATTGAGAATAATAATAATTGATAGACATTATAGTTTTGAATCCCTTTAAGTTTGAGCAGTTTTTCATCAAATTATAATTCATGAGTCGTGAAAGGACGTCATGTTTCTACTTAAAATAACTTAATAAACCGAGGGGAGATTGACCGAATTTGTTTTTACACGTGACAGCTATCCCCGGTTTCGATTGGTCAATGCTGGAAACTGATTGGCTCATCTTCCCATCTGTATTATTCAGATCGATTTAATATTCAGTAATCCGTGTCTATCCTGACATTCACGCGCAGTTCTTTAAGTTCCCTTAAAAATGAATGGCTTCCAAACATGCTGTTCCTCATAGGTTCAAGTGGTAATGTTATTTTCTTTAGCTTTTTCAACGACATTATTTTGCTCATATAATCAAAATATTGACATGGTTCAAATCTGCGGTTCATGGGATGATCGTCTGTTAATATAGTGAGACTCTCAACGTTCACCATGGATCTAAACAAGCTCAATACAACATTTTCATCGTGTTCCCTGATTCCACCATTTTGGCAGATCTCATACATTGTTACACATTTCAACTTCTCCATGATCAGCCCAGCGGGGACTGGTAGTGTCATGATGGATGTTGGGAAATGTAGCTCTTCAAGGGTGCCATGATAGGCGGTGAAGATAAACGGGAAAATAGCCGGTTTAAGTTTATAGCATCGGGTAAGATCTAGAACCTTCATCTTACAGCCTCGTAAGTGCTCAACTATGGATAGCCCCGAAAATAATCCAGCTCTCGATAATTTGAGTTTTTGTAACGTCATGCAGCTTGATTTAAGAATATGACTCAAAGAGGATTCCTTTATCCACTTGTTTGTAATTGAAAGTTGGTGCAGGTTTGAAGGAAATGGAAACGGTGGAACCTCATCCTCTGGATCTATTTTGAAAATGCCTAAGCAATTATCGATGGACAATTTATCAAGATTAGGACACAATTCCACTATAGCCCTATAGCGAAGTTTAACAGTGCTCACCAATGGAGGGCCCCCAAAAACTTTGGTTTTATCGGATATGTTAAATGGTGTAGATATCTTCGATAATATCAACTCAGAAACTATCTCTTCTGTACAATACAAGGCCTGAACAAAATTGAAGACACTCTGTCCGATTTGAACTACACCCTCATCTCTAGGATATTTGTCAGCTTTATGATATTCAGTGGTCGTGAACAAACTTAGTTTTGGTCTACGAAATATCATCGAGTTTGTCAGTGTAAACCATCTTTTGCAGACCAATTGGACATGGACTGATCGAAGAGTCTCTCTAGTAATAAACGAAAATATTAGTCTCAAGCAGTCATCGTTAAGCAAATGAATGGAAATTCTTTCGATGTCGTCTGCTTTACTGTCAACAGTGTTCACGATCGATCCGATGAAAGTTAAGGCTTCGTCCAAAACAATGCGATCATTGTTTGAAACAATATCTTCCATCAAAGTACCGGGTAAATTGAGCCCAAATACTCAGCGATCATCTCTCCTCCTTATAGCATCTACCTGTGGTGGTATGTTAGAGATGATTTCATGTATGTACATCAGAGTTCAACTACAATCATCTAGGAAGTTAAGTATAAAGTACCACTTCAACTTTCTGGATCTTAGTTTAATATCAAATTTTAGATTTGTCTGTGTTAATGGAATAATTGATGTCCCCCGGCCCCGCCCCACGTGTCTACTGTCTAAATCATACTGCATTAAAACAAGTTGGTGAATAGAACTGCTCACATAATATCATTATTTACATTGTGTATACAGCAGTAGTGATTACCAAAAAGACAAAACTGTTAGAAGGGAGCATATGAAATAGGAAGTAGAAAGGCATTCGGAGAAGTAAAATGTCATAACAAACCAAAACTTTTGAGTTTAAATATTACGGATTCTATCAAAATGGATAAATTCACTTAAAATCTGACCTAGTCATTGGTCGATTTGTGCAAATAATAATAGTTTTAACAAACAGATGGTTTTAATCAAACCGGGAATCAGTGGTTATGATAACGTCATCCGAACAGTTCATCAAGGCAGGGACCTGATAAGTTGTCTCGCCTAACGGAGAAGACAAGGTCTCTGACGGCGAAACAGCCGTCTCAACAAAAGTTCTGTCTCCGACTGGAGACGAAGGAAAGTCTGTGTCTCTTTCAGGAGAGGAGGCGGTGGAGGAAGAGTCTCTGATTGGAGACGTTTGAAATTGTCCGTCCCTGAGTCTTGATGCAGAAGTTGGGAACTCTTGATTATTTGAACTTAATTTTGGATAGTGTGGGCTAGTTCCAGGTTTGGAAGAGGGTGAGGGAGGTACACTCGTCTGAGAAGATCTGGAGTTACATGGTGGTTGATTTGTTTGAACTGCATCATCTCGATATTTCCGGTGAGGCCGGCCTTTTCGAAGTTTCCTCTGGTTCGTCCTTGCTCGAGGTTTCACATCGTTCTGAAAAATAGAAATTATTAATCTGAAGAAGAAACCATTATTTATCAGTCTGCAATATTTAAATGTGGCACCTCTTCGGCTCTTCTAATAAACTCAAACACAGAATACAGATTTAACTTGTCTAGTTATACCTACGAAACATATCGCTCAACATAGGATATAACGAACTACTCACAGGGTTGTGTCCCTTGTGTTTCTTAATGTTGTGGGACCTAAAGCCGCTTGCTGTGGCGTACTTTTTACCACATATCCTACACTTGAACCACTCGTCCGGCGTGTGGACCCTCTCGTGTCTCCGTAACTGGGCTGTGTTAAGGTTGTCATACACCATGTGCCATTAGAATGTAGGAGGAAACAGTTGGTATCAGATAATATGGTAAAGACTCAATTATAATAAAGTTGTATGGAATATCGAGTGAATGTCTAGGTTCTCCTCCTGTTTTCGTCATAGTATGCTCCGTTGCATAGAATGGTAAACAATACAATAACGTTAAGACATAAAGGAACTTGATACATCATTTACTAACAAAGCTAGATCAAAGGAGGATCATATAAAAAGTAATTATTGAACCTAGCAACACCTGTTGAAGAAAGTAAAGAACAAAATACAGATTATTGCCTTTTTAATGTAACAGACCTAATTCTTAAGTCAATTGTTACGCAATAACAGCTCTGAATATATCAGCACTGAAACTCTTGTTAAAATTCAGATTTCTATCTCGTGCCAAAATATCTTGTTTGGTTTGTTTACGAACCTTGAGTATTGAAGCGATCATTGCAGACGACACATTTGAACTTGCGTTTATTCTCCTGATTCAGCATGTGGTTCAGTAACCCCTGGTTCCTTGTAAAACTCTCTCCGCAGTACGGACACACGAATATCCGGGTCTTGCCACAACTGTGGCTTTCAAAACTTGCCACTGTCTTGAAGGAAGCCACACATTCCTTGCATTTGTAGCAGATATGATCAGGTTCTTTCAGCCTACCACAACTCAAGCATTTCTCCTCCTTTTTGTGGATCTTTTTGATGTGATCTCGGAGAGAAGTGCCTCTGGCGAAGGATTTATCACAATAGCAGCAAATAAACTGTTTCTCGTTGTGAGTAGCAGTGTGATTTTTGAGACAGTAGGTGGTTTTAAACCCTCTCAGACAGACCCCGCACGTGTACAGTCCCTTGTGTTTAACCAGGTTGTGATCCCGCAGTTTAGTCGGGCTGGAGAATATCTTGTTGCAGTCTCTGCAGAATGTCTGGGAGTAGTAGACGGGGTTGTGATCTGTATTCTCTGGAGGAGGGAGGTGTTCCTCGTAGTGTGTCCTCTGGGCTCCTTCTATTGGCAGCAGCTCCTCGGGGGAGTCGCCGGGCTGGGATTATAATCAGTTAATTATATTACAGTTTTTGGAATCGTTATATTATTACGCTTTAAGATTTCGGAGCCTTTGAATCTTTTACATTTGTGATTTTTTTGTTGGTACGGGGTTTACTGGCTTCGCCTGAATATGACCTCTTTTTACGTCACAGACTGCAACATGATACCTTGTCGACGAAGAACGTAACGTTTAAAAGTTAAAATGTAATTTAAAACAGGAAGTCAAATAATGTCCCGTATTACCCCTTAGTTCCATGGCCAAATAATACGGTAAAATAATTCGGGCAAATTTTATTTGTGAAATAAATTTATTCGGGTGACATGTTCCATGCCCAAATAATTTGCGTGCGGAAATCGATACGCGTATTGGTTGCGTCGGGTGAGATCTAGACTGCGACCACCTAAGTTTAAATTAGGATGAAAATTACGTAAACATCACGTAAACTAGTGTAACAACCAATGTGCAGAAGCAAATTAGTGTCCTTCATATATTTTCTATAAACTTTTTTGTGTAAATTTAAGAAAATAGGGTTGACATATCTAAATTAAGTTGTTTGAACTTTCATAGTCAAGAATAATTCCTTCGCAATTAACATGTTTGACCAACTTAAATTAATATAAAGATATAAGGACTGGGGAGGGGATCATGTTTTGTGTCCGTTTTTGTCCGTTCGGTACCCTATATTTTCAAAACGGACAAAAAGTAGGGCGGACAAGAACGGAACAAAAACAGACAAGAATGTTGTGGAAATAACATTTAGATGCTTCCTCCTCCTCTTCCTCAGTCCTCCTCAGTCCTCCTCCTCCTCCTCCTCAGTCCTCCTCGTCCTTAGTCCTCCTCGTCCTCCTTCTCAGTCCTCCTCGTCCTTCGTCCTCCTTCTCAGTCCTCCTTGTCCTCCTCGTCCTCCTCGTCCTCGTCCTCCTCCTGAGTCCTCCTCCTCCTGAGTCCTTCTCCTCCTAAGTCCTCCTCATCCTCAGTCCTCCTCCTCCTCAGTCCTACTCGTCCTTAGTCCTCTTCCTCCTCCCCCTTCTTCTCAGTCCTCCTCCTCCTCTTCCTCAGTCCTCCTCAGTCATCCTCCTCAGTTCTCCTCAGTCGTCCTAAGTATCAGATAATAAAACATTGGTTCTTGGGAACCCGAAAATGACTCACTGCAGCTCCTCAATAAAATGGCTAATCGTGTAATCGATGTGTAGTGTAATAGCGTTGTTATCATTAGTGTTATGATGATATGCGTTAGGTAATCCCAGAAACATTTAGGACAACGAAATGCAATTATAGTATTGATTACAACCGCAGCGACTATATTATTTGAGTGAAATTTAAAAAATTCGTGCGCAAGTTCACGAATTTTTTTAGCCCGAATATTTCAGTCGAAGCGAAAAATGTGGGTTAAAAATTCGGGCAAATTTTATTTGGGTGAAAAATTTGAGTGAAAATTCGGGCATGGAACTTAGGGGTTATGTTACCTGCTCAAGGCTGTGAATCAGGAGATGATTCAGCCCCTTTAGTTCAACTGATCGTTTTGTTTAACTTGTATTATTATATACTGTTCATGAAGAGCTAGCCTCTAATTTTCGAGCTTTTAGAGCATTTATATTGTTTTTTTGAGCTTTCAGAGGCAAGCTTTGGGCGGGCGAGGTATAGTTCGCATGCACTCTATCAGGCACCTATATTTAAATTATTTCAAGACCCCTATTTTGTAGCAGCCTGATTGTTGTTGTTGTTTGGGTTGTTTACCTGCTCATTGTGAGGTATGTGGTATGTGACTTGGTCCTGATTTTGTTCACTCCCCACCACCAGCACAGACTCTGAAATTGCACTGAATATTGTCGAATATTTTACGTTTTTCTGTGGAAAATCATTAACAATAATTACCGAAGGGAGGTTCCATTGGGCCAGGTAGCGATAGTTGTAAGACAGCCGAGTGCTGAGGTTTGTTACGTAGATATCTATTGTTAATAATAGTGAGTGCTAGTAGGAGGTCCTCCCTTGGACCGAGGTCCCGGAGAAAAGGCTCCCTGTCCTATTGGGGGTCAGATACCACCGACCACACAAGAAGGAAGAAGAAAAACATTTAGTAATTAGCATATCATTACTTTGCATTCAACGTTAAAAATCGACACATTTCATATGTGAATCAGAAAGTCAGGAAATCAGACAGTTAGGGATAAAAGGGCCTACTTTTCAAATCATTGTCATTAGCTCTTGATAATAATTTAACCTCCTTAAACTCTGAATATTTAATGTTCAACGTCGAATTTTTAGTCTAAAATCGTTGATTTTAGACAAGGAATAGGTCTTGAATAGTGAATAAAGTATCTATATCTTGAAAGCAATAACAAGAATTGCGCCCGTTGTTTCGTTTTGGCGGACGCTAGATTTCCATTTCACTATAACTATTAATATAAGCTCTAATCAGCTCACCTTATAATATTAATAATAATATTGAACCATCAGTACACTACGCGTGCCACGTTCAAGTTGGGCTTATTACAAAATATTATACATTACTAGTATACATTAAAATACGCTCGTGCGCCGCGCATTCATTGACCACAGACTGGCTATACACCACATCTCCGCAAGCAATCCCCGTGCGCGTGCGCGCGGCAAGTTGACATGGTAACGAACGGAAGCAAGTAAGTACGTAAGGAACACGACATATATTTGACCCACCTACTGCAATCCCCAAAATCCACGTTTTTCTGCAAAAACGTCCATTCGTAACCTTTCACTATTGCCTTTTTTCAAAAGGGTGAAAAGGAAAAAATTCAGGCGATTTTCATAGAAAGGAGGGTCTGCTTTTAATAAAATAGAAATGAACCCTTGTGACCAGCAAAAATACTCTCTAGGAATTCCATGAAATACAGTGGATCTCACGTGGATTGTTTCGTCTTGCTAGCTTATATCATGCTTACAGCAGGTATTTTGGTGATCGTTAATATCAAATTATAATGTAATATATACATATTTTCTATGATCACGATTAACATGCGTACTACATTTTGTGGGTTTTCAATTTTCGTGATAAGGTTTCCAAACTAATTCAATGTATCAAAAGTTTCAATACGTTCTCAAACAGGTGTGACCACAGCAGCAGAATACGAATTTAAACACGAAACAGGCCAATCAAAACATGACGGAGGAGCAACATCAGGATACTTCTACACACTGGTGGGTAGCGAGGGTGAAACGGGAGAGCACGACTGTGTAGGAGACAGAGCAGGGGCCAGCTCTTGTACTGTGACTGATGAGAAGAATATTGGGGATCTGCAGGGGGTTAGGATACGGAACAGCGGAGAAGACTCCTGGACCTTTGTCAAGATGGAGGTGGAGATAGACGGGGTGGTGTGGGGAGTCTGGGAGGGCTCCCTTCAAGTGGATGATTATAAGACAAAAGATATAACTTTTACACGAACAGGTAAATTGTGTGCCAGAAGTCTTACCATGGCCTGGTAGATAGGGGCCTCACTAAATTGGGTAGATAGGGGCCTCACTAAATTGGGGGGGGGGGGGGGGGGCAACCATATTAAAGTATATTAAAATGTAGGATTTTTCCCGATTTTGACCCGGGGATATACTTTAATATACTTTAATATACCTACAATATACTTATATATCCCTATCTCCTTGGAGGCCTATATCAAAAATTGTTGCCCAAAATAAGCTTGAAATGCAATTCTTAATCGATTCCAAAAAGTTTTTGAAAAAATATTGAAAACTGATGGAGTTATTTCAATTTTAATGGAGTCATTTTGGCTAGTATTCCGAACTGAGATATTATGTGCAATTTTCCCAATTTTGTTCATGGAGGTCTTTTTACTTAGTATCCACTATATTCAACAAACACTGAGTTATATCTTTCACATAGAGTTAGTCTCATTAAAAAATATTGAAATTTCATCGAATTTGGGTAAAAGCGAATTTGGGCAAAAGCGTATGCCCAAATATGGGCATATTTTTTAAAGCTCATAACTCAGCCAATTTTTGACCAATCTGGATGGAAATTCATGTACTAGTCCTAAAACAGGCTTATCTTGCGAATCTGAGTGAAAAATATAGTTCATCATGTAAATCTTAACGAAGAATATAAATCTTCTAATTGTAGGTATATATTAAAGTATATTAAAATGTAGGATTTTTTCCGATTTTGACCCGGGGATATACTTTAATATACTTTAATATGGTTGGCCCCCCCCCCCCCCCGCCCCCCAAATTGGGTAGATTGGGGCCTCACTAAATTGGGTAGATAGGGGCCTCACTAAATTGGGTAGATAGGGGCCTCACTAAATTGGGTAGAAAGGGGCCTCACTAAATTGGGTAGATAGGGGCCTCACTAAATTGGGTAGATAGGGGCCTCACTAAATTGGGTAGATAGCTATAGGGGCCTCACTAAATTGGGTAGATAGGGGCCTCACTAAATTGGGTAGATAGGGGCCTCACTAAATTGGGTAGATAGGGGCCTCACTAAATTGGGTAGAAAGGGGCCTCACTAAATTGGGTAGATAGGGGCCTCACTAAATTGGGTAGATAGGGGCCTCACTAAATTGGGTAGATAGGGGCCTCACTAAATTGGGTAGATAGCTATAGGGGCCTCACTAAATTGGGTAGATAGGGGCCTCACTAAATTGGGTAGATAGGGGCCTCACTAAATTGGGTAGATAGGGGCCTCACTAAATTGGGTAGATAGGGGCCTCACTAAATTGGGTAGAAAGGGGCCTCACTAAATTGGGTAGATAGGGGCCTCACTAAATTGGGTAGATAGGGGTCTCACTATATTGGGTAGATAGGGGCCTCACTAAATTGGGTAGATAGGGGCCTCACTAAATTGGGTAGATAGGGGCCTCACTAAATTGGGTAGATAGGGGCCTCACTACATTGGGTAGATAGGGGCCTCACTAAATTGGGTAGATAGGGGCCTCACTAAATTGGGTAGATAGGGGCCTCACTAAATTGGGTAGATAGGGGCCTCACTAAATTGGGTAGAAAGGGGCCTCACTAAATTGGGTAGATAGGGGCCTCACTAAATTGGGTAGATAGGGGCCTCACTAAATTGAGTAAATAGGGGCCTCACTAAATTGGGTAGATAGGGGCCTCACTAAATTGGGTAAATAGTGGCCTCACTAAATTGGGTAGATAGGGGTCTCACTAAATTGGGTAGATAGGGGCCTCACTAAATTGGGTAGATAGGGGCCTCACTAAATTGGGTAGATAGGGGCCTCACTAAATTGGGTAGATAGGGGCCTCACTAAATTGGGTAGATAGGGGCCTCACTAAATTGGGTAGATAGGGGCCTCACTAAATTGGGTAGAAAGGGGCCTCACTAAATTGGGTAGATAGGGGCCTCACTAAATTGGGTAGATAGGGGCCTCACTAAATTGGGTAGATAGGGGCCTCACTAAATTGGGTAGATAGGGGCCTCACTAAATTGGGTAGATAGGGGCCTCACTAAATTGGGTAGATAGGGGCCTCACTACATTGGGTAGATAGGGGCCTCACTAAATCGGGTAGATAGGGGCCTCACTAAATTGGGTAGATAGGGGCCTCACTAAATTGGGTAGATAGGGGCCTCACTAAATTGGGTAGAAAGGGGCCTCACTAAATTGGGTAGATAGGGGCCTCACTAAATTGGGTAGATAGGGGCCTCACTAAATTGGGTAGATAGGGGCCTCACTAAATTGGGTAGATAGGGGCCTCACTACATTGGGTAGATAGGGGCCTCACTAAATTGGGTAGATAGGGGCCTCACTAAATTGGGTAGAAAGGGGACTCACTAAATTGGGTAGATAGGGGCCTCACTAAATTGGGTAGATAGGGGCCTCACTAAATTGGGTAGATAGGGGCCTCACTAAATTGGGTAGATAGGGGCCTCACTAAATTGGGTAGATAGGGGCCTCACTAAATTGGGTAGATAGGGGCCTCACTAAATTGGGTAGATAGGGGCCTCACTAAATTGGGTAGAAAGGGGCCTCACTAAATTGGGTAGATAGGGGCCTCACTAAATTGGGTAGATAGGGGCCTCACTAAATTGGGTAGATAGGGGCCTCACTAAATTGGGTAGATAGCTATAGGGGCCTCACTAAATTGGGTAGATAGGGGCCTCACTAAATTGGGTAGATAGGGGCCTCACTAAATTAGGTAGATAGGGGCCTCACTAAATTGGGTAGATAGGGGCCTCACTAAATTGGGTAGAAAGGGGCCTCACTAAATTGGGTAGATAGGGGCCTCACTAAATTGGGTAGATAGGTGTCTCACTATATTGGGTAGATAGGGGCCTCACTAAATTGGGTAGATAGGGGCCTCACTAAATTGGGTAGATAGGGGCCTCACTAAATTGGGTAGATAGGGGCCTCACTACATTGGGTAGATAGGGCCTCACTAAATTGGGTAGATAGGGGCCTCACTAAATTGGGTAGATAGGGGCCTCACTAAATTGGGTAGATAGGGGCCTCACTAAATTGGGTAGATAGGGGCCTCACTAAATTGGGTAGATAGGGGCCTCACTACATTGGGTAGATAGGGGCCTCACTAAATTGGGTAGATAGGGGCCTCACTAAATTGTGTAGATAGGGGCCTTACTAAATTGGGTAAATAGTGGCCTCACTAAATTGGGTAGATAGGGGCCTCACTAAATTGGGTAGATAGGGGCCTCACTAAATTGGGTAGATAGTGGCCTCACTAAATTGGGTAGATAGGGGCCTCACTAAATTCGGTAGATAGGGGCCTCACTAAATTGGGTAGATAGGGGCCTCACTACATTGGGTAGATAGGGGCCTCACTAAATTGGGTAGATAGGGGCCTCACTAAATTGGGTAGATAGTGGCCTCACTAAATTGGTTCTTCCTCTGCAGTAATTCCTTCAGATACAAAATAGTAGAAATTACTCTGAGGCACTCTAAATACAATGGCTGCCATTGCATTTGATATTATCATCACTATTTACATCACATTATCTAATTTCAGCTGCTCAATACAAGATTACTTACTCAATATGGGACGACAGTAACGCAAGGACAAGAGACCCCCAGTACGTTAAAATCAAAGGAACAAAGGGGGAGACGAACGAAAATCTGTGTGATGAAAATTTTGATGTAACAAACCAAGATGTGGCGTGTGTTTTTATAAGTGATGTCAACATCGGGGATTACGAATGTGTGTCTTTGAGGACTACTGGAACTGATGGAATTGATCTTATAAAGGTGAAAGAGAATCTGGATTCTTAATAAAGTTATAACTTTATCAGGCGCGAACGATAGTACATTAGAAATGAAAATAAGAATACTATTTTCTAATCTGACAATATGACAACCCCACCAGGTGACGGTTCAAATAAATGACACAGTGGTCCACACCCTTGTACCTGAAAGCAACCAAGACTTTATAGGACTGGATAATAGAGAAACAAAAGAGTTTTGTAGAGAAGGTAATTGATAGATAGATACCTATAATTGATAGATAATTGATAGGTAATTGGTGGACAATTGATATGTAATTGATAGGTAATTGGTATACAATTGATAGGTAATTGGTAGACAATTGATAGATAATTGATAGGTAATTGGCAGACAATTGATAGGTAATTGGTAGACAATTGATAGATAATTGATAGGTAATTGATATGTAATTGATAGGTAATTGGGAGATAATTGATAGGTCATTGATATGTTATTGATAGATAGTTAGATACTTCCTTCTGTGAAGGCCAGCGCAAAAACTAACAATAATACAATTTTACCATGATTAAAAACTTTAAAATGAACAATGACCTAATTTTATTGTTCAGTTCTTCCAAGGAATGGGTGACCACTTACTAATCATGCTAATAAATTGCAGATACTTTGACCCTGAGAATAACATGTGACGATCGCTTGGAGTTGTATCTTGATGGCGTGCAACAACAACACAGTGCTCTCGGAATATGGAGCCAGGAGTCAACATTTGAGGAAATAACAACCGAATTAGAAATTATAGCCTTGAAATGTGTAAACACTGGAGGAGCTAAAGGTATAATAGCATCACTAGAGAAAGAAGATGGAGACGTTGTCTACTACACCGATACTTACTGGAAATGCTCATCTGTCCTTGAAGAGGGCTGGCAACTCTCGGGGTTTCAGGATACTTCAGATAATTGGCACAATGCCATTAAAGTAGGAGACAATGGGAACCCTACCTGGGGATACATTGGACAGATATCACATGATGCTGATTGGATCTGGGCGAGAGCTGGATGGACAGTTTACTGCCGAGGAGTCGTATTTAATAAAGGTAAGAATATAAACCCGAATACTTATTTTAGGCATTTTGTTAATATCACCACTATACCCCACTAAATCCACATGACTATATTTAGCTCATCAAGCATTATACGAGTCACAACACCAACTTCACAACCTGATATAATATTTTTTGGTTCGCACGCGCATGTGGCTGCATGTTGCTCGAAAAAAGTAAAATAGTAACCACTTGTAACAGTAAGCTTATCCTTAACCAAGATATAAACAATAAGTTTCAGTCATTAACTTAGAATGAGATAATAATATGACTGAATGCTCGGAAAAAGTAAAATATTTACCACTTGTAACAGTAAGCATATCCTTAACCAAGAAATAAACAATACGTTTCAGTCATTAACTTAGAATGAGATAATAATATGACTGCATGCTTATAAAGAAGAGTGGCAGATTTCTTACCAGTCGGTAGTTGGATGAGTTGATGGACGACCTGTCCGTCAGTGTTATTAGAGAGGAGAATACAGGTGACACTCTCACTGGGAGCGCCAGAGGAGTACACAACATTTCTGGCAGATTCGCTCTGAAAAGACTGGGGGTAAAATCTTGTTAGGTATGAACTATGAGAAAATGAATGCAAAGGAAACGTAAAATTGGGTAATTTAAGTGATCTTGACTTCGACCCTGTCATTATTATCGTAGACTATAAAGGCACAGTGTTTTTGTAGTTTGTTAACAGTAATCTGTTACTCAACGATACTCGCTGTCACAACATATGGGATCAATATACATTTTGCCCCAGAAACATAAAACACAAAGAAGTGAAACCAGATTGTATACATATATCTTATTCAGATTCATGGTGAAGTTGATAGTATTACCTGGGTTGTAGTGATGTTGGAAGGAACTGAATCATCCATAATATTAATCTGTGCTTATCTTTGATTTAATATCTATTATAAAAAGTAATTTTTGCTATTTAAATCATGCCTTATATATGAAAAAAGTTTGTTAGTTGTTATTTTTCAAATGCCCCATCATTGTACTCACACATTTGTTACATGTTTGATTGTTGGAAATTGATTTATAATTTTACATTATTTTCATGTTCAGATAAATAGCTTTTATCGATTGGATATGAATAACAATTGGTTGATGGTTATGGTCATTTTCTAATAAGCCAACATGCCCAGTGATAAGCAAATAAAGAATGTTGGAGCAAAAATATATCAGGATGAATCCTTCAATCTAGTAAAATTATAAGGTCAAAAATAAAGCAATTTAAAACTTAAGTATTCATCTATCAGGCTTAAAAATTTCCAGACAGCTATACAAACATGATAAAATTTCGAATGTCATCTTTGATATCAATGTATATGTCAAAATTCAAATGAAGTTTACATTATAGTTATTTTATATTTGGGCAAGAAGTAAAGTAAAGAACAAAGATTTTATTTTATACCCACAATCAATACATAGTAAGTTCAAACGTTCATGATAAATAACGCTGCTAAATTTCAATGAAACTAATAAATCAATGAAACTAATAAATCAATGTTTTAGCTCATTTTACAAAGTCAAATATTTAAAACAATTAAAATTGTATAGTGCTCAATTTGTAAATGACTAGTTGATCTTTGCTATTGGAAGTTTGTCAAGGACTGGCAGCTAGCGGGGGCAAGGAATGCACGGGCTTAGGGGCTTTTGTGCACACCAGAACACTAGCTCGGTAGATTTTTGGAAACTAGAAGGACTGAAAACTAAAATTGTTTTTGATGGAGGCTGAGGCATGTTTTTGAGAGGGACGGTATAATAGCTTGTGGTAACAACAGGCCTTTACTTTAATAGGATGAAGTTTTAGTTTTAGGACAGGAAGAAGGCATTAAGAAGATTTGCTCTTTGTTTACAAGGCAGAATATAAGCAATGTTGGTTATAATATGTATCAATATCTAGATCTTCGTTTATCAATTTTCACTAAATGGGTTTAAAATTTTAATAGGGAGGGAAATTCATCAACTTTATTAAGTACCTATCAAAAATAAATCTTATATCAATGTAATATATTAAAAATCATAATCCTAAGTCTAATAATAAATCTGTTAAAAACACTTTCTCACTACACTGCGCTCACACACGTTAGTAAGACAAAGGAAAATGCACACCTGGCAGCTAATTTTCAATTTCAAGATAATCATTTTGGATGTGTGGACCCTAGGGTAGACTTAATGTCAAAATTTAGATTAGAGCATTCGAAATCTTTGTTTGTCCAATCAAGATCAGCATGGTTATGCTGGTTGACGAGCAGTGATTGCTTCATCCTAGACTTCAGGCAGGCCACACTTAGACAGTAGTCACGTATACCAAGCTTAGGCACAATTACGTTCCAAATACGAGTCGTTCTGCTATTGAAGTTGTCAGGGGGGTCTGCTTGGCTTAGTATAAGGGTGGGTTTCCTACTTGAGCAGGTGAAATTTTCATGGAGGGAAATCGGAGCACGGAATTTCATGATTTTATAGAGCTCAAGGAAACAATGGTAAGTGTACAGGTTTTGGACGGCAAGTATTCCGTGTTCCTTGAACAAAGGTTTCGTGTGCTCTTTCAAGAAAAATTTTTTGTTCAGATTTTGGTTGCCAAACGGTCGAGCACGAGCACAGGTCTTAAATTTATCTAGGTATGCCTCCCTGTCGCCAAACAGTACCCTGAGACAATATTTTTGTGCTTTGAATACAGAACTTATACGAGTTTTGGCTGCCCCACCCCAAACCGTGATACAATAGGAGAGGTGTGATTCAAATAGAGTGTAATACAACTGGCGGTGTAAGAAATCTGGGAGGGAGCAGCGTAGGCGGCAGAGAGTTGATGTTGCATGGCTGAGAGAACGCCTAAGTGATTTTATATGTTCTTCCCAGGTTAGCTTTTCATCGATGACGACTCCCAGAAACTTAGCAGATGCAACTTGTTTTATTGGAAAGTTATCAATGGTTAGAGTATATTCAGAATTATTGTCAGTCTGGGAGGACGATGCTGGTTTAAAGTGAATGAAACAGCATTTAGACAAGTTGACATGGAGTTTGTTTGCTCGCATGTAGGAATATAAACTAGCTAAAAGAGAATTACCACGCATATATGCCTCCTTTTTAGATTTCCCAGTCACAAATATATTGGTGTCATCAGCGAAGGTGACAAATGATCCCAAACTGGAGCTGTTGGCGATATCATTAATATATAGGAGAAATAAGAGAGGTCCAAGAATCGAACCCTGAGGGACTCCAAACTGTATTTTCAAGGCGTCAGATTTCTCACCAACAACTTCAGTATATTGTGATCTATTTGTTAGGTAACTTTTTATAAGATCATTTGCCACCCCACGTATCCCATAGCCCTGTAATTTGACAAGTAATGTACCATGATCTATTGTATCAAAAGCTTTGCTAAGGTCTATGAATATGCCTAAGACATGATGCTTAAGTTTTAGAGATTCAGTTATAAGGTTTACTGAGTGATTAACTGCATGTGAAGTAGAGTGTGACTGCCTGAAGCCAAATTGTGTTTTAGATATTATACCCTGTGAGCTAGCAAACGAATATATTCTTGAGTAAATGATCTTTTCAAAGATTTTACCAAATATAGAGAGAGTAGAGATTGGGCGGTAGTTTTCTATCTCTTCAGGGTTTCCCTTCTTAAATACAGGAGTTATTCTACCAGTCTTTAAAACGTCGGGGAACGTGCCATTAGACATTAAGATGTTGATGTATCGACTAAGGATCGGTGTAATTACGTGAGATGATCTTTTGATTACACTAACAGGAATATCACTTGCTTTTCCATTTTCAAATCCTTTTATTATTTCCGTTATCTCATAAGGTGTACAGTCTTCTAACATAATCGATTTTTCATTAGTCTTTCCAAGGAAATCATAGAATGTTTTTATAGGGAGAATTGGTAAACCAGAGGCCTCACTGCTACTAAGTGTTTCATTGAGCTTAGGGGCAATAGAAACAAAGTAAGAGTTGAATCCATTGGCTATGACTCTACGATTCATGATTCGTTCGTTGTTTATGATAAAGGGAGGCTTAGTTTGCTTCTTTTTCTTGCCCCTGAGCTCATTGATTATCTGCCACGTTTTTTTGCTGTTTTCTATATTTTTATGGATTTCATTGCAGTAGTACGATCGTTTGGCGACCTTGATAATACTTTTAAGCATTCTTCGGTAGTCACTGAAGACTTTATAGAGCAGTACATTACCCTCAGGGTTTCTATTTGTTACAGTGCTTGACCAGTCTCTACAGAGTTCATGTTTTCTTTCAACTGAGACAATGATTCCATCGGTAATCCACGGGTTGAGTTTGGGAGTCCTTTTGGTAACTTTTGGTACATCAAGCTTACAGTGTTTATCAAGTGTTTCATTGAAGCAGTCCAAGAACTCATTGAAGTTTACCGAGGGAGTTAAGTCATTCACCTTCACCTCGAGTTCATTAACAAAATTAGTGAGTTTGGAACTTGAATAATCATAGTAGCGAACATGTTTAAGTTTTTCAGTACTGTTTTTGGTAGGAATTGACGTGAAGGTGAATATAAAGGCATGGTCACCAATCCTATCATTCAATACACCGGAGAGAAGTACATGATCTATCTCTGATGTGAGGATATTGTCAATACATGAGTTTTTACAGTTAGGACGGAAGTGGGTAGCAAGTGATATAGTAGGATACATATTGTTACGAAGTAACGTGTCCTCAAATAACTGGCTGGAGGTTTGTACATTGAGGAGGTTAGAGTTAAAATCGCCAAGAATATGGAACTTTTTACCAGCCAACTGCTTAGATATATCCTCAAGAGTTTGACAAAAGGTCTCACTACAGCCATTTGGAGGACGATAAGCAACCCCATATGTCAGTTTATCACCCGAGCTAAGAGTAATTTCAACAAATAAGCACTCAATATCTTTTGTACAGTGAGATAGATTTTCGATTACTACAGCATTCAGGCGATCAGAGACATATAAGGATACTCCTGTTCCTTTTTTCTTATCAGGGAATGGTACTTGACAAAATGTTGTATAGGAGGGGATTTGGTATAAGCCTTGTTGGCTTGGATCGATGTTGGTCTCAGCCAATCCAATGACATCAAAATTACACGGGAGGGTCTTATGTTCTATTAAAAAGCTGTCAAAATTACTAGCAAACCCATCTATATTGCAAAACAGAGCTGGCAGATAAGGGCATATTTCAAAACTGGTTCCACTTGGAGGAAATTTCAGAAATGCTTTTATCAATCCAATTTTGGAAATTTTAGAATGTTTGAACTTTATACTTTGAAAATCTGCAATATTGGAGACATCAATCTACTCTATCATGCAAAAATAGCTCATTCTATCATCGACACTAAAACAATCCTCAAAAGTGTGCTCTACTTCATAACGTCTCTAGATTAGGCCTTTGCTTGAACTAAACCCAAATTTTGTGTGTTAGTATATGAGATTTCATTTTTACAGACTGATATAAAGCCCAATCAAGGAGAATGAGCTAACATGGGGAAAATGTGGTTTAAAAATTTTTGTCACTCCGTAACAAAAAGGTGTCAAAAAGTTATCTATTCTCTTAACTACACGCCTATTGCATTCCATATTTTCTGAAGTATCTCAGTGACCTTACACTAAGATTTTCCAACATTTTCGATTGATAACATTATAATTTAAGAGGAAATATGATGAGCCAAACTTTGGTCACTCCGTAACGCTGTGTTACGGAGTGACAAATTCAAGGGACATTGTCACTCCGTAACGAATTTTTTTTATTGACATTGGACACATAGTGTCCAATCAGGTTGTCATAAATACACCAAAGGAGTTTGCAACCTATGCTGACAGTCTTCTCAAGTCAATCAATGTCGTGTATGTTGGAGATCTAGCCTCAGGTATGGAAGAGGAGTGCAGAAGGAAAGCAAGACCAGTTCCAGGAACCTTAAAAGTGCACCACATTGTCCGTTCTTTCAAAGATAACAGCTGCATCCTTACCTTTAGGGGCACGTCAGTTGATGGATCTTTGATAAAGAAGATAGAGTATGCCGATGAATCATCTGCTCAGACGACTTCAACAACAGTTATTGGAGAGGAGGAAACACCATCATCTTCTAACAGCTGTGAAACTTACAACATTGATCAATTCGTGATTGTTAACTGGGAGGGTGAACTTTATCCAGGAAAAGTTATTGGCAAGCCAGACAGCAGTAACCTTACCGTTAAGTGCCTTGTACCAGCTGGAAAACCTGGATCAATCTGGAAATGGCCTGACAAAGAGGACGTCCATGATTACGAACTTAGTGACGTGAAAGGAGCTATTGGTATGCCGAAGCTTTTGCCGGGAACAGGGAGAAGAATAGAGTTTGAAGTACCTGAACTTGCTTATAAGTGGGGTGTAAAGGTTTGAATTTTCGTTAATCTGTGTACATTGTACAGTTTATAACTTTAAACAAATAAGCCCAGATTTTTAAACATTTCATTATGATATGTCACTCTGTAACAGATTCTTAACCGAGTAATATTTGTAGAAAGTAAAACCAATGAGACTGATTTTTATGCAGTTGTTTATATTTTTCAAACAGTGATTTAAATGTGCTGTATTTTAAGGGAAATTTACAGAGTTGTAAGCTCCAGGGTTGATTTTTTATCACATGATCGTATTTTTATTCATAATTGTGATCAAGACTAATGAATTGTACCAGATTTGATTTATTTCACATCAATAAATTTGTGTGTCTACCTTGTTTAAGTGTTATCTATCTAATTTTGAAAAGAATTCTACTATTTAGAGCCAGGCACAGGATGAAAAATGATGAAAAATTCGAGTGGAATGAGAGACTGTTTGATGCGTCACTCCGTAACAGTCACTCCGTAACAATCCCCAAAATTTTTGAAGCCTCAAATTTTTTACTCCTTAGGCAATACACACTTTTTCCTGATTAATTATTGAAGGAAAATGTCTGAAAAGTGCCTGGAAGCCGTCAAAATGCAACTTTCAAGAATATCTGAGATAAAAATTAGGTCAGAATATGGGTGTACCAAAATCTGAAAATTTATCTAGTCACTCCGTAACCAAATTTCGACTTTTAATTACTCAAAAACGGATTGATTTCTCACTATTTTCTTTGGCAGATATGTAAATCGTAGGTTTGAAAAGCCTTAGAAACATAATTTAACCAATAATGAACCTGTTTTCTTGGACATTTTTCGGAAAAAATGGGTAAAATTGTCACACCGTAACATTCTATAGTTTTGAAATATGCCCATAAGCAGAATTTTTATTTTTCTCAGGAAAAAGTTTGCTGATTGAGTTTGCTAGTTCTTGTTTTGTGTAACACTTACAGTCTTCAAGTATTGAAGAGAATTTAGCTATGGTGACATCTTCCTGGTTGTTTGTATCATAGAATTTATCTGAATCATCATATCTTTGGCTGCTTGGAAATGGGCAATACCTATCTTCTATTGTACTACAGCAATCACTACACATCCATAGACCGTTTTTGCTTGTAAATTTCGCGGATCTGAAGCACTTAGTATGAACAACTTTGCTGCAATTTTCACATTCTAAGAGTGGCTGGCCAATATTAATGTATTTACTACAGGGGTCGCACACATCTTTAATAAGTTTCATAATCATGATAAACTAAGTGGGATAAACTCCCACTGGTCGGGTGGCCTTCCTTTGTCTTACTCTCTCCTGTCTCTCCCTCACATACACCCACTGTTTCAGACATCTCACAAATTTAGCAATACCAAGCTCTCCGAGATGGATTTCATCACCATTTCTCGTGAGTTTCATAGCAAGCAACCCTTTACCGTCTAAAAAGTGGCCAACACCAAGGTGCCATGCATTCTGGTTAAAGCTAGAGTACAACATTTCATCAACCAAGCTGTTGAATGCCATAATGTTTTTATTCATCTTAGGGAGTCTAGACGGTAAAACTGCTGTGACAAACAACTTCGCCTTAGGGCACAGTTTCTGGATCTGCTGGATTTTCAGGTGGAGAATGTCTACCAGCTGGTGTATATCACCAGGTGACTGCACATTTTCAACTCGTAGATCGTTGGTCCCACAAACTAAGATGACGTTGCTATAACCAATGCAGAGCTTAGGGTCTATTGCACTGACCTTGTTGGCTTTAACACGTTCACCTGGGAAGGACTGTCCAAGGGTTCCAGTACCGACACCGAACTTGATGGGCTTGGTGTTAGAGTCGCCCATGATGATGCAGCTCCTGCTAAACTGTTTGCTCACAGTTCTCAGTGTGATGGAGAACCTTCCTGTCTGCACAGAAGACTGAGTTTCAGCAGGACCTGTTTCATCAATACCGTGACGATACCAGGCTTGTGACGATCGTGTCATCACATACACTGAGTTAGATTCTGGACTCACACTATGAACATACTCAGTTGAGGCTTCGTTTCCGGTCTCATGGATGCACTTAAAGCACACCTTCCTGACGTCGCCTATGCTGATAGTAGCAATTTCTGAGTTAGCAATAATCTCAGACTCATCGTCAGAGTGAAAAGGGAGCTTGCTACTAGTGGTGGTATCAACTGAGGGAGGGTAGTAGTTTATTAGGATGGAGTTGGGCTTATGGGTCAGTCTGCACTTTGATGTAACTGCGTCTATGGCTGAGGCAAGGGGTGCTGGGATTGTGGGGGATAGGGGTGGGTCTGAATCACCAGTATAAGAGTAGTCTTCCCCAAACTTGAGGACCTGTCTTCCATTCTTCGGGATGAACTTATTACTAGCTTGGCTCTCCAGGAGAAACTCTGTAACTTCTTTGAGGATCTCAGCACTTAGCACATCGACCAGGTAATCACACACTGGAGGTTCTGTGCATTTAGGGAGGGGGATTTCTGTAGCAGGTGGTGCTTCAGATGGACTTCTGGACTGCTGAAATTCATGAATCTCTTGACTCAGCTTCTTCAGTCTTGTCTCCAGGGATACAATCTCCACAGTAGGCATACTGTTACCAACAGCATTAGAAATAGCATCTGATATAGCCTGTATGTTCTGGCTGTAGTCTACAGAGCTCTTTAGGTTGTTGTCCATCTTGGCTGACATGCTGGAGCCTGGTCTGGGGAATGATGTATCGAAACACCATGGACATAGCCATTCTGAGAGAATAATATTCAGAGAAGCTTCAAGAGGTGTATCGTGCTGAATGTTGTTAGCACCCTTGAGATTGGAACAGGAAGCATGCCAGTGCTGAAAACATCTGGTACACTTGAACTTCCATTCCTTACCATCTGATGTTGATCGGCAAGGACAATCACTCTTTGAAGCCCGTTGTTTTACTGTAGGTTTATCCTGGATTTCAAGTTCTTCAGCAGACTCTTCAGCATGTGAGAATGGAGGAAAGGACTTGTACAGAGGGCTCATTGGACTGCTGGGGCTCTTTCTGAGGTTTGATGATTCTAAAGCTGATATCAGGTTTGGGCTGATCTTTTCAATAACCAGATTACCTGGAGGTTTAAGAACAGATGTCTCTGGTTGTTCTTGGGGTGACTTTGATGGGCGTTTACCCAGCACAGCTTTCTGGGCCATTGCGCTAGGGCTGTTCCTGCGCAGGGCTTTGTTGTCTGCTAGAGGTTTCTTCTTTTGGGAGGTAGCTCCTCTGCCGGATGGTGACATGCTAGCTCTGGATCCTGGGTTGGTAGGAGGAGGAGTGTGTCTAGGGGAACGCCTTTGGGTACTAGCACTTGAGGTAGTAGCCATGATGATATGATATCAGAGATATGTCCGGAGTCCAGGGGGCCAGCTTGGACAGACCCCTGCACCTCAAATTATTTGTTATATAGTAGTGTTGAAAGTATTAAAACTTTCAGGTTCAGGTTGCGCAAGCAAACTGAACCAGGAGCAGACCCATGTAAAAATTCAACAAAGTAAGGCAATAAAACAGCAAACCGGTGAAATTGCAGATATATAAAATCATAAATTATTTTATACACTCAAACATTTTCAAATGAAAACACAATTTTTGCTCTGCAACGCTAACTTGACCTGGCCGCTGATACGTGGTAAAATTATTAGCAAAAATAGTAAAGTTTGATTCAAATTACAGCATACATTAAAAGTTAAATTACTTACTACAAACCTGCTAGTCAAAAGCTTTGTTCAAGGAAATTTTAAAAATCATTTATGTTTAAATTAATCTATTCTATTCACCATTTAGCTCTAAGCTCTGTACTGTAGAAAGTATGGATTTTATTTGACAATGACAACTACGTTGCAAGTATTCGGTTTTTCTAATCGATACTTTTTACCGCGTCAAAAAATATCAATCACAACCAAAGTTATGAATAGTAATAATCTTGAGCGTAAATGTGAGCCTTGTCTGTAGTAACGATGTATCATAAAGCGTTGCTAATCTGTGGTTGCTTGCACACGTGTAATTTTTTGATGTTGCTAAGCAACAATGTTAATTTTACCTCACTTACAATGTTAATTATATAAAATCTAAAGCTTAAATCAAAATTCTAAGAATGCTATCTACTATTCCTGTCCTTTTTCTACAACCCTACTAAAATTCGCGAGGTCTCAACTCCATTTGCGAGCTGAAATTGGTCAGGAAGAAAGGTCGATTTTTGGTCAATTAGTAAGCTAAAGGCAGCACATAATATGTAAGGAAGTGTACTGGAGGATGTTATTGAAACATGAAAATAAGACTATAGTTTCTAGATGTAATCAGTGGCGTAACATTGCCTGTTGGCGCCCCCGCCGAAAAAGCGCCCCTCTGTTAGCGATCCCTCCCCTTTTCGTGCCCCTCCATAAAATTGAACAAATTAGGTGATTTTAGAGGATACGCCAGTAAAATCTCTAAAAAAGTGTGTATCTAGAGCAAAACGCGCAGTTTTGCTAGTACTTTAGTTAAGTTTTCGAAATTGTCCCACATTCAAACGACGATTTGGCGCCCCCCCCTAAGACGGCGCACAGCGGGGTCAGCGGGGCCCTTCATTATGTCACTGGTTGTAATGTCAATATCATTCGCCATTGAATCTGACAATCTGTTTGCAAGTAGATTAGGACCACGAATGAACGTGTTACCTGTTTTAAGATGTGATTTAGGTGTAAGAAATATGTTTATCAATAGCTTAAATGAGCTTAACAAGGTGAAAGATATGGCTGTATGCAATAAATGTTGTATTGGGACAATTTGTATTATGGGCACAGATTACCACATTAAGGTATTTATCTTTTAAATCATTTTTGTTGGTATGATCCTGATGAATAAAGATAATAGTTTCTAGCATTGAAGTTATTCAAAAGTATAATTAATCGTTTTCTTGGACCATGTTATTACAGTAGAACTTAATAACGATGTCCCAGTTGTTAAACAAGAAATGCGGCCGCTTTTCTTTTGTGGATGGCCGCTCAATTTCCCAATCCTTGATGGCGTATTTTATCATATTCCATACAACCTGGGGACTCCAGTCTTTACTGTTTATAAGCATGCAGAATGCAGATTTGGCGGAGTGACAGGCCAGTTAATATAATTCCATATTGAATTTTAAAACTGTGTATATTTCTATGTAACCATATTTTTATTGTTTATGCAACCTGACACGGACACTTGGAGTAGCAAGAGAATGGACAGAAGGTATATACCTAAAAACAACTTTGCACAGGTAGGAACGTGAGCGATAACTGAGCGCGAGGGCACGCACAACGGTTGCAAGCTGCCATATATGGGGGGAAACCCTTATTCGCTAACCCTTGTCCTTGACTCTTTTGTGCCTTGAGCATTTCGAGTAATGGATCGGGAAAAAATAAAACACTGTAAAGCAATCAAACACCAGGAACATTGTGATATCTAAGACAGACAAAAGGGATTTGATTGGTGACCCAATCATTTTACAATTGTCATACTAAAATATTTGGTCTGCAGTCAAGTACATCCAGTTTGTTCCCAAATGTCAAAATGTTCATCTGAATTATAACAATTTAGCCAGATTTATTTTCAGTCATAGTAATATTATATATTGGAGTAGTTAGTTTGTATGTCAAATATAACATGTTAAATATAGCGTGTTCAATATAAAATATTACTATTATGTTTGCTGAAGGGTACTCTCACACTTTAAAAAATTTTACATCTTATGTCAGGGTCTATGAACCCTCAATCACAGATATACATATAATAATATATGATAACCTTTTCAATTCACACTCTAAGCTATCCGTGAGAGTAGCGGAAAATAAATTAGTAAGCTAAATATAAGTAACGACTTATACACGATTAACTTAAAATTAAAACAAATTTATAAAAATTTCAAAAAAACATCGGTTGTGATTTTTAAATAAAATAAATACTAAAATAATATTTTTAAAAAATTCAGTTTAAAATTTGACTGATGATAGTTATAACCGACAGTGTCAATCCTTATTCACATCCCGGCGCGGCACAGTGGTGCAAGTTCATTGCGCTGCAATCCACTTATAATATTATTAAAATTATATATTATCAATTTGCGCTACAATTATGACAGCATAAAATGAATTTATTGATTCATTATTAATTTATTTTAAAACCACACACGTTTTAAAATTAAAACTTAATTCAAAGTTTTTGATGCTAGTATTGAAATTGACGGATGATACTCGTTTAAATTTGTTCGAATTAGCGCGCGCCGCTTTCTTCTCGAAGGCACGAAACTTTAAAGTAGCGCGCGCCGAGTCAGTTCATTAATAATAGAGAAATATTGAAACGATTATTCTATAGCCTTGTACTTTAAAACATTGTATACAGGTTTTGTAAACCTTGATAAAACATTATACAGACAAGCACGTGCTGTGCAAATTTTGTCATTTATAAAACACATTTTATTTTCAAAATCGAGCGCCTCGGCAAAAAATTTTATGTCTACATTGTTATGTCGTCTGTCATATATATCCTGTCATCACTCCTGGAGTAATGGATATTATATGTTTATTTCAATAAATATAAGAATCAATAAATTAGAATAGAATATTGTCTTCTTTTCATATCACTCTTCTGAAACCTCTTCCTCTACATTTGCAACCTCATCGCTGATCATCAACTTCCTCATCTTCATCATCAACATCATCACCCTTGTCTTCATCGCTGGTGGTGTGTGCGAGATCAGATTTAGGTCCAGTTCGTCAACAGGTATTGCTTTCTCATAATACCGTCCTCTGTGTCCTCTCACTGCAATCAAAACTGTTTTAAGTAGCTCAAATCGCAAACGACGTCTTAGATTTGCCATGATGAGGCTTTTGTCCTGGCTGGTCTTGGCTGCCAGAAGTGTTGCCACTCGTTTAAGGAACATGGTAGCCTGTGGGCCCATACCTCCGGTGGTCGAGAATAGGAAAGAAAAAGGCCATTGCAGTTCCTTTTTCGATCTGTACACAGCGGTCTCCATATTTCCTTTCTTTCTCTCTCTCTCATGCTTATTGTACATCTTTGCTGGGGTGTTGTGATTAGCGTTGGATTTGGCTCCGGGGTGTAAAACCCTGTCATCTTTTTAAAAATTTATAATTCACAATACATGTATTATAAACAATTTTGACCAATCATATTTTAGAGCAATAGCATCTCGAAGTTCTTGTTTGTTACAAATATTAACCCTAGTTGTCAATGGCTGGCTCTATGCTAATAATGACTGGCTTTGAAGCATCAATTAAAGGAATGCAAGCGAAAATAGTATCCTTTACCAAGACAGGCAATTATAAAAACTAAAAGCATCTAAACTTGAAATTTTCAATATTCTGCAGACTTCGACAAATATGACGGAAAGGGCAAAAAGGCAAAGATGTCATTTCTTTCAGTAATGTGTATGTGTGTACTGTTTGAAACAATTTATTTATATTATTTCTTTCAGTAATTGCATTAGTCAATCCTCTCACTTATATTGATCTTTGCTGATCTGTTGGAAGGTGCTTTATATAAGAATCTTTGTCAACTTTTTTAAATGTTTCATTACACGATCAATGTGCTTAAATAGTCAAATTGAAGCAGGTTATTATTATCAAACAATGCGTCACTTAAATTACAATTTTTTTATGTCATGTAGCTTGGAACTGCAGACTCCAATTTGCAATTACAAGTTACAGTCTGCATCTGCAGACCATTTTATTTAGTAGTTTACTTTGAATATAACTGTTTCTTAGAAGTTCAATTGTACACATCTTTGCACTTTATTATCTCACTAACACAATGTGTTGTAGCGTGAAATAGAACATGGTTGTTCCAAATTCAACCCCCAAAGATGAAGAGAGCACAAACAAGAGGATCACCCTCAAGATTCTGATACCCGGAGTTGTGGCAGGTAATCAACTTAAGTTTACTGTATCTCTCATGATGATAGTTTTAATACTTTCAACACTACTATATAACAAATAATTTGAGGTATGTGACATGTACAAATAGTGGAGAAGTAGTGGAATCGTAGACAAGCTATAACGTAGACTCTGACCAGACAAGGCCTCCAGACCAGTCGCTGAAGACCTTTCTTCACTTCTCATCTATATCTTTAAAGGGAGTCCGACCCACAAGTCGGAACCTCTCCGGTGGGTTATATCTTTCTCAATTTTGTTTCGACATCTCTGGATTGACGTACACCTTGGAAAACGTTTTGAATGGCTACTTCTAATTCTAAATCCCTGATTCTATCTGAATTAACTTCTCCTCAGCTTGATAGTGTTTTGTACAAATTCCAGCTGATTGCTCCGGATGGGTATGACGAGGATGGAAAACGTGAACTACTGCGCAGCAGCAAAGTCTTCATACGAGGAATTGGGGACCAGGCTAATGAGAACATTTTGGCGATATTCAGTAACAAAGGTACATTTGTCGATTTTGAGTCAGCAGATGGAAAGGTAAAAGGAATTTTTGCTAAATCAGAATCTGGTAAGGTGATGTATCCATGTTCTGTTTGCTGTAAAGAGGTTACAGATAGGTCAGATACATCAGGTCTTGGTATCGAATGTAGTGGATGTGGGTGGTATTTTCACACTAGCTGCACATACAAGCCTGTTAGTCTTGACCTTTTTAAAGCTCTTAAGGACTCTCCAAGCTACATCAAGGTGCTGTGCCCCCCATGCAACTCCGTGTATGGTAGTGCTCTCTCCAAGCTGAAGCGTGTGGAGCATAAGTTGGATGCTATGGCTGTGAAGGTTAACAGTGTAGAAACTAAGGTAAAACAGGCGGCCACTAAAGTACCCTACAGTACTGCTGTTTCAAATGGTATCTCCAAAAACAGTCCTATCCCACAAAAGGTCATGGAGGGTTTGAAATCTATATCAAAAGCTAAACAGGAGTCTGATGATGTTGAGCGACTCAAACGTACCAGAGTTGTTATCCGACCAGAAGATACTAACATAAGGACTAGTCGTGATATACGTAAGGCTTTCAATCAGCATTACAAAGGCATGGTGATCAAACATTGTAGGCTAACGGCATCAGGATCCATCACATTTGAGTTTGAAGATGAAAACACAGCAAACAATGTGCAGTCTAACTGGGAAACAAGTCATTTTGGTGGTAATAAAGGTATGAAAATACCAGGAGACTATAACACTGTGGCCATGGTTAAGCATGTGTATGATGATCACAATGAGGATGACATGAAAAATGAGATTATGCAAAACTACTCTGGTATTGTCACAAAATGCGAATTTCAACGGAAAAGGTCTGATAAATCATTCAATGGAATGATCAAACTTGAATTTTCGTCTCGAGAAGAAATGATGAAGGTAGTCAAAGACAAGATACAGTTTTGTCATCAGCGCTATATTGTTGAAGAGTACAAAAGAAGGTCCAGGGTTATCAAGTGCAACAAGTGCCAAGGTTGGGGACATATTCACCGGTATTGCACCAAGCCAGCTAAGTGTGGAAATGTGCAGAAAATCATGAAAGCAATAGCTGTTCAATAACCAGTGGGTTCAAGTGTGCACATTGCAACAAAGATCACCAAGCAGGATCATTTGATTGTGCAGTGTACAAAGAGAAATTGGTTAAATTCTCTCATGATGCATTATGATCGATTATAACACTTCAAGTAGAAATGCCCAAAATAGCACAGTGTTTGGTAAATTATGCACAATCAACATCTGCGGACTATCCCAAAGAAGCAACATGATGCTAAGCAAGTATGCGTTTGACAACGACATCCTTCTATTTGGTGTGCAGGAGACAGGTGCTGGAAGCCAATGGAAATCATTAACAAACATGAAAACTTTTGAAGATACAAATAATAATAGCAACAAAGGCTGTGCAATCATGGTTAGACAAGAGATCATGTTCACACAGCTTCCTGTTATCTCAAACATTTCATCAAATATTGACTCAGTTTGGGGAATGTTATCTTGGAACGGCAAAAGATACATAATTGGCAACCTCTATTTGAAACTGGACTACCTATCAGGTGTGAAAGAGATGTTGGTTATGCTTGATAAGGCTCATGAAATGAGCAAGCTTCACAAGTGTACAGGTGTGATTGCTATGGGGGATTTTAATGCTCGCCACTTTATCTGGAATGATACTGTGGTAAATAAGTATGGAAAATATATTGAAGAACATCTAGACTGGTCCAAGTTCTGTGTCCATGCACCTTCGTCAAGCACGTTCTTGGCAAGGAATGGGAGCAGCCATATTGACTTTTTCATCACATCCACACAGCTCGATAAGTATATAGATCATCCAATTGCAGATCACTTTGCTAACTTGTATAGTGGGGCTCCTTTGAGAGGTCACGTTCCAGTATCAATCAATGTTCAATCACAACCTGTGGCAATCAGGTCAGAGAATGTTCAGAAGTATAACCTTCAGTCAATGGACTGGTTTAACTGGACTAGAGACATTGAGATTGACTTGACACTCGAAAAAACCGATAGCTTAGCAACTGATGGGACTATCAAGGAATTGCTGGAAGTTATTAACACAGCTATTGATGTTTCTACAAAAGAAAACTGCCAAATGAAATGTGTCTCCAAACACAGTAAACCGTACTGGACCCCCAAGCTATCTGTGCTTTCTGGGAAACTAAGATTCGACCTCAAATCGTATTTAACCAGAAATACGGACACTGCATTTGAAGCAATGCAGACCTCAGAGAAGGAATTTGAAGAAGCAAGAAAGCAGGCATGTCAGCAGTTTATCCTTCGAAAGACAAATGACCTGAACACCTCTCAGGCAAAAAAGTTCTGGAAAGAGTTCAATAAGCTCTTCAAACCCCCATCTGATCAAATGGTTGAAGCTCTTATCTCAGAGGATGGAACTATTCTCACAGAAAATGCTGACATCGAGAAGGAAATGTTTGGAACGTTTTTTCAGGCTAAACACATAGTTCATAATATCGATCAATTTGATGATGTTTTCTATCAGGAAATAAACAACCTGTATGACGACATCAAAAACAGCAACTTCCAGCCCAGTGAGGATATGGCAGATAGATTTACAAGCAGCTCCGCCCTTTACTGCCCGGTTACACCATGGGAGATCACTGCTACTCTGAAAGGTATTCACTCTACAGCGGCTAGTTTTGATAATCATGAAGTACATCAGTCTATGCTAAAGAAACTAGGTCCAAATGCAATTCATGCACTAAGCAGGCTCTTCACACTCTGCTTGCGTAATGGACTTTGGTTGAGGAACGACTCTAAGATCGTGTTCCTCAAAAAAGATGGAAAGTCCTCATATTCCAAAGCAGGTGCATACAGGCCAATTTCAATCTCCTCGTATGTAGGCAAACTGCTTGAACGAATCTTGGCACAACGACTTGAGGTATATCTAAAGAAAGTGGGAATTATTGATGTAAATCAGGAAGGTTTCTCCAAAGGTAAAAACACTATCAGATACCTCAATAGGCTGACTGCTGGTATTAAAGGTGATATTATGAAGAAGCTTACGGTACTTTGTTTGTTCATTGACTTCGAAAAAGCTTTTGATTCAGTGTGGAAAAAAGGACTAGTTGTTAAGCTCTGGAGAGCTGGCGTTCATGGCTGCTATCTTAAAACTATAGACAGCTTTCTGTTTAGTCGTACAGTTTGCCTTCTAATAAATGGATTTCTCGGCCCAGTTAGAGACTGCCTGGACTATGGGTTACCACAAGGATCTGTGCTGTCCCCTATGTTGTTCAAATTCTTCATTATGGATATCGAGGCTGTCTGTTCAGTGTACCAACAGATTAGTGTCTTGAAGTTTGCTGATGATGGGACAGTTAAAGTGGTTGGCAGAGACTTAGAAGAGTGTCTTTTCTATCTCAACCTGGCTATGGACAGCATTGAATATTGGACATCTTGTTGGCGCCTGGTTATAAACTGTGATGCAAATAAGACTGAGATTATATGCTTCAACTCATATGATCAAGCCGGAATCCCAACCTCATTCAAACTAGGAGGGAAACTAATTCATCTAACAGATCAAACGAAAGTTCTGGGTGTCATACTAGACAGTAAGTTGACCTTCAAACAGCACAGCAAGCATGTCTACAATAATCTAGTCTACCGCTGGGTTTGTATGAGTCGTTATGCAAACAGAAACTGGGGCATGAACCAAGCAGTGCTAGTTAGAGTTGCCAAAACCATTCTCTTCTCAACACTGTTCTATGGATCTATTATATGGATGAAAAATTCAAATATGACAGACATAAACAAACTGTGGTACAGAGTGTCTAAAGCTGCAGTCGGGGCTGTTTTCAATGTACACGGGGCCATTCTTGAAGTCATTCTGGGTGTACCACCACTCCAAACAATGGGGAGAGTAATTTCGATCAAACATTACCTTAAGGTTCTCCATGACTCAGACGACATTCATTTTGACTTCGTGAGAACTCAACTAGATGAAATGAACCCAACAGTACTCTTCCATCTCCGAGACGTGCAGAAATTCTTAAAATGGAAAGTAGAACATTTCAGCACTGAAGGTCAGACCTGTCACTTAACCCAGAGAAATCTAGAACAAGTTCTGTTACTACCCAAAAAGATTTATAAGTACACTAAAGGAATGATGCAGCAATTCACAGAGCTTCTTTGGCAAGAGAGCTTACAAAACCTACTACTGACGGAAGGATGGTCTGAAATTCCAAGAGTCTCCTGCAACCCCCTTCCTATCCCCTTTGGAGTGAGCCGCGAAGTGGAAGTATTAGTTATGAGTCTCATGTACAAGAACAATCTACTGAACTCGTTTCTCTTCAGAGTTGACAGAGCAGTGGCCTCTCCGCTATGCATCTGTGGCTCGGATGAGCAAACAGCACTGCACCTACTATCAAGTTGTGAGCTTGTGGACGCGAATCTACAATGTCAAGCTGAACGAATCATCACCCTGTGTAACAGCGGTAGGTCCATGGTCGATCTAGCAGCTGAGCAGGGCTCCATCATACTGAACTGTTCAAGGGACGAAATGTTTATAAGTGTGTGTGTTGAAATTGTAGAAAGCGAGGGGCTACATCTTAAGCGAAAGATTAATCTTTCGAAAAGATAAGGATTTATTATAGCATCTAATTTTGCTAATCTTGCTACTACTATGATAAAGAATGAAATACCATGTATATTGAAGTGTAGTAAAGTGTTATTGGACTTTGCTTATTTGATAACAAACACCTTTAAATTAAATATTGTTTTAATAACAAGGGAATGAGTTTTTCTATTTGAGCTGTTTAGTTCAAAGAAAAGCAGATATGGACTGCTTTAAAACTTTTATTTTGGAAAAAGTTTGTTTCAGTAACCATTGAGAACCAGTGGCCTTTTGTAACTGCATCTTTAACCTCAGTTTCACTTTGAAACGTCAAGTGACTGGTAAAGTCAAATATTCTGTTCTATGAACATTTATTCTAGTATTTTGAAGTGTAGAAATTGTTAAGATCTTTAAGTTTGTACTAAATTACTGATGTTTTATAACGTTTTAACGGGGTGTAATTTTGTTAGGTAGGTATTTAAAATTATTAGTCTTTTGGAAATTGAAGTTTTGATCTTTACTATTTATTGTTAATAAAATGCTCATTGTAGCCAGTTATTTTAAGATTTTCATCATCATCATCATGATGATATTTTTAATGGCCAACAATTATAATCGGATTACAATGAAATTTGGGTTGCAAAAACTGAAATCTCAAAATGTCCACTGGTAGGATGTTTTCATGATTTTCCTTTAGTTAAAACTTTTTTTGGATATTCAGCTTCCAGTACTTCCATCTTGGATGGTGTCACTCTCATGTCACCAACCTCACTGATTGGACAATGGTAAAAAATTCAGCCAAAGCTGTGAAATTTGGATCAAGGAAACATCAAAAAAGCTTCTACTTAAAATTCTTCCAAATTGGAGATTACATATTTCAAGGGATACAAAATAAATTCAAGATGAAATCAAATGTCTGTGAGATCCTAAATCATTAAGTTGAAAGGTGGTCGAATTATCTTCTTATCTAAGTTTTCTGTATCCTCAAACACTTTAGTCAGTCCTCTCCTTACTAGTCACCTGAATAATTGAATATGATTGGTGAACTGAGGGTTATTATGATTTTCTAGTTGTTTAAGGGTAGAATGAAGTCAAATGTTTGTCACACCAACTGTAAAGCCTCACTTTAACGTTTACAGCCACAACTACTCAAATATAGTGTTTATTGTCACTCTTCTGATAAAAATTATCAATATAAATGCTTCACACTTTCTTGCTACAGTAAAACCCTGATTTACTACTACGGTAATTCCAGGTTTGCGGTAAATCAAGGGTTTTGTTTGTTTACGATATGTGTATGTTTAACCCTATTTGGGGAAAGGAAATGACCGCAGTTAATCGTGATTTGCAATAAATTGGGGTTTTACTGTATTGGGAAAGTAAGCAATATTTTTCAAATCATCTCAAAAAGAGGTTAATGCGTATGGCCCCACCTCTCCAATTGTAATCAAGTTGAGAATAATGATAATTTACTTACGCTTGAAATTATCAAATCCTCCGGTAATATCCTCTCGCTTTGCTTGGACTACTTTTGAGAGGTCGAACTCTTGAACCTGCATCTCTATCCTGTTTGCCACTACTTCTTCAAAAATACCCTTTTCTTTGCAAATACATTCTAAGAGAAAGGAACTTTAAGTAAAAGTCTTAGATTAGGAACAGCAGTTAAAAAGTGAAAAAAAAACGTGTTCGTTAATTTTGAATATTTAGATGATCCATTAAAGTGTGTTACATAAACAATCAATTGATTCATTGCCCTACGTTTGACCTTGCCCGTTATAACCCCTATAACCTGAGCTTACCGTCCATTCTTTTGTGAGACCATGTCAAAACGTAAGGAATGTCAACTCTGTTCTTTAGCATCACAGCATTACATACAGCCCTCTTCCTTGGTGGGGCAGTGCATGCAAACTCAACTGACATTGTCTTTGTTACTGTCTTATCATTACCTGCAAGATTACATATAAATATATATATATTATGATATGACATGACTGTGTGGTATGTATGGCACAAATAATAACGAATACATCTAAACCACTGAGCAACCACAAGATGCAAGCTGACATTCGATTGAATGCCAAGAAATCTTAAACAGAATTGACAACGGAGCATAATAATTGTACTATATATTCTGCTGTTACCTGCGCTGAACTCATATGATGCACTGATCTCAGTCGAAATTTCAGCAGAAGTTATCAAAGGAACTCCAACTTCAAATGAAGTTCCAACTGTGACTGAGGCACCAGCAGTGTGAGTAAAAGATATTGACTCAGACACCTCAATGGTTGAAGTTATCGGAACGACCAAATCTCTGCTGCCACCATTCTTAAGTTCTTTGTGGCTGAAATTATCAACTCATCAACAGAGTTAGTGATGAATGAACAATTGAAAGGCCAGGATCAAAATGACTAGTTTTTACTATTTTGCATAGTTACCATATTACTATTTACTACTTACACGACAAAATCAGGTTTAGCTGAGTAAACTCTGCCAGCATCAATGTCGTAGTCAATGTCGGTAGCTTTGAAGTCATAACCATTGATGTTTTCGCAGTCGCATCCTAAAAGAATTGGTTTTCACTATCTCACTGACCACTGTAAACTGTTTAATAGAATCTTGTTCAGTTTTCTAATAAAATTTAATAGTTTTATTTAAAGTAAGGTTATACCACACACACACACACACACAGCTATAGACGAGGAAAGTTATCTGGAATATCATTGTATAGTTTGAACTCACCTTCTATTGCAGTTCGCCAAGCATTACCCTCACCATGTTTGTTAACCTTAACCTGATATCCTCTCCACTCTCTCCACCTCCCATTTATCAGAATGGCTGCCATGTTAATGTAGGCATCATCCCCGGAGTCAGACAGCACTCGAAACTCTAGTTTCTTCAAAGTATCAAACAAGGTATATCGACATGAGCCAAATTTACTCTGACGGTATTCGCTGTAATGGAGGTTTCGCTTTGGTTCGTCAATCGTTGCACGAATCGTTTCACAGCTCTTGGATCCCTGTCGAACTCCAAATCTTATCTTCCCAGAGGTTCCTGCATAGCTTCTATCAGAAGTAATGATACGGACTCCATCAACATGCTTGTAGGCGCAAAGTGCTGCATTAAGCAGACTGCTTACCAAAATAATGGAAAATGTGAGTCTCATCCTGGAGAGAAAAAATGTTTAAAAGTTACAAAATTGATCGGCAAGTTTTGTGCCGACAGCTATATGATGTAACTGTCTGCTGATTTAAAAACGGAAGGGAAATGTAAAAAAACCACTTCAAGTAAATGTGCTGTAAGGAATTGTTCTTGTAAAGGATAAGATATTACCTCCTACTAACGGTATACTTATACTGACCAGCTGATTCAGTGCTCTAACCTTATCGGGGCTCTATTCCCAGAGATGTCCGTATAGATTAAATTCTTACGATTTTATCAAATGTTTTATATTATTGAACACTGATAATATATTAGTCTCCTTTCACTCTTATGATGCTCATAACACCTGGTTCATGTGAAATTTTCTGTCTACTAACGGACCAACCAGCTGTAAATGAGCTCGTACTCAAACTTAACATAATTATATACTAGATATGCACTGAGAGTGCTCACACACCAAATTGAAGACTAATGTTTTCCATTGCCCTTTAAAGAGATTGGTATGGAGGGTTTGTGACTGACCCTGGTCATTAGGAAAGGCCGCAGCTAAGTTTCACTATTTTTCGCAATTTGACTTCTACAAAATATTATGGAAAAACTTTTAATATTTTGATATTATCATATTTCACCACCGCACCAGTATAAGTTTGATTTTGTCTTTTCCAGCAGTTGCAAACTGTAAGGCACTGAAAAATTGTTGTGAAATCATCGAGAAACTGAAGCCATAGAAAAACTGTAAGCGTTAGAAGATACTACTGTATAAGTCGGTGCAAGTTAAAAAGGTGCAAGCCCGTGCAAACAGGAATCAGTGTATTAACCTCAGTTTGACCTCAGCTCATGTAAATGATAGAGTATAAGTAAATTTGTTCAATCCAATCTCTTGTCTGTTAATGCCAGAAACTGGAAATGACCCTTCCAAGCATCTGCTATCTTTTTAAGGTTGCATCTGTCACCGTACAGACGGTTTTTTAATGGGAACCGTTCACTTAGCACCTAGGGCGTCCTTCTCTGCTCCTTTGTTTGATCATAACCGATAATAATCAATATCACACTTGAAATTCTAAGACTCTTTGTTGACCTGTCAAAGAATCTTAAGAGGGACCGCACCCCTCTCAGATTCTAGTCGGGTAGATTCTAAGAATCTGCTAGAGAGTTAGAGCACTAGCGAGGTGACAAACGGACATAAAAGTACTATTTTGGAGCAGGTGTTCTACAATTATTATTCGTCTGTCATCGAATAGAAACAAATCGCCTGAATCTCAGTTTCTTAGTAATAGAGTTTCACGAACATTTGTAATCTTTCGATATTAATAATTTCAATATTAATAATTATATAATAGCAGATCGTTATTTCAGGGAGCATCATTGGTAAAGGAGGGGAGTCGATTAAAGAGCTGAAATCTAAAACGAATGCGGTGGTTAGGGTTTCTAACCGGGATGAGATATTCCCCTTTACTGACGAACGGATTGTATTGGTGGTGGCTCCTCCTGACAGTATAATGGAAGCAGTCACCTTCATCCATTCCAAGTTAGTTTTAATCAAATAGGGTGGTTAGAGTCTATAGAGTGTATGGTGTTTAAATGTTTAAGTCCGGCAATAATTGGGAATATCATCAATTTTCAATTTCTCTCTCAGTTTAAATGGGAAGTGATACTGATATCAAGGTTAATGCTAAGACTAACATATTATGTGTATAAGGACACGTTCATTTGAGTTTGAGGATATTGGTAAATATAAGTGACCCTATTAAAAGGCACAGTGTAGTTGACTTTGTCACACTATTGAATTACTTAAACCCTTGATCGTTAGGATAATCGTCTCATCCTCTAGGCTAACTTTGTCACATAACGATATCTTAATCAGGTGATAAGATATCGCTTAAATACGACCGGCACGGAAATGGTTACATTGTCACACTATAAACATGTGACGGAGTAAATATGAACCCCTTGCTGCCGTTTTTGAACAAATGTTTGAGTGTCCAGTTGATTGGATGGGTACATATGACCATTACCTACATATTTGACGACTTTTTTCGTTATATGGTGCATTCAGGTTTACTCTGTCACACATTAAAGAAAATATGTGATGAATGTTTAGGGCACCCTGATAAGCAATGCTGAGTAGTATAAGTTTATTTGATGGCCTGGAAGTGCTGGGAATTGTTATTATATCATATAGTCGTAATAATAATAAGGAATTAAAACACAGAAGGCACAACCAAGCTTATTTTGTCACATAATCTTGATGATATCTGAACATGTGTGAAATTGAAAAAATAATGATATACCAGCTTAAACCCCTTATATTATACGTACTATGGATCAAACAACACTGCTAGAACCATGCACCAGTCACATAAATCATTATTAGGTGGTAATATGTTAACAGTGTCACAATTAAACTACCGCTACATGGTCAAAAATAGGGTAATTTCGTCACAAAAAATTATTATAACTCTGTTAGCTCCTTGCTGGCAAAATAACTAGTTTATCGAAATTTTTTTGATGATAAGGTTACATAGTATTCTAATAGAGGTATAGTTCTTCAAAATAGGGGCAAGACATGTTTACTTTGTCACATCAGTTATTATAAGAGTTAGGTAATCGTCATCAGACTAAAAGATATTTTTCGTAGTTTGGATCGATTAATACTTTAATATACCTGTAATAAATCCTATGCCAATTTTAACACACTATCTTGATACTGTTGGGGCAGAAAAAGTTAATTTTGTCACATTTTCAATGTCTTTGACAAATTGATCTAAATTTTTTAAATTGAGCTCTTATGTTCTGGACAATATTCTTCCAATCGTTTCTGAAAGAATATTGAATTCTAATAGAGTTATAGATCTTCAAAATAGGGGCAAGACATGTTTACTTTGTCACATCAGTTATTATAAGAGTTAGGTAATCTTCATCACATTAACATATATTTTTTTGTAGTTTGGATTGATTTATATCTAGGTAATAAAGCAGCCTATGCTAATTTTTACACACTATCTTGAAATTTTTTCCCGATCCATGACTCAAAGTGCCGAAGGCACAAAAGAGTCAAGGACAAGGGTTAGCGAACGAGGTTTTTTTTGTATATGGTAGCTTTGCGACCGTACCTGCGAGCGTGCGAGCGTGCGCGCGACCGTACCTGCCTGCACACACTGTAATCGCCCACGTGACTACCTGCGCAAAGTTATTTTGCGGAATAATCCGAATTAGCTAATTGTTGGCGCGCGGCGCTGAACTGACCAAGTACATTGTTAATTTCACCATGTACATATCCCACTAGGCACTAATTGATAGCATACTATTATTATTTTGAGTTACTTATACTATTTTGCACACATCCGTGTCGGGTGTCAGGTTGCATAAACAATAAGCATATGGTCACATAAAAATATACACGATTTTCAAATTCAATATGGAATTATATGGTGGCGCTCGGCCTGTCACTTCGCCATATCTGCATACTTATAAACAGTAAAAACTGGGGTCCCCAGGTTGTATAGAAAATGACAAAATACGCCATCACGGATCGGGAAATTGAGCGGCCATGCACAAAAAAAAGCGGCCGCATTTCTTGTTTGGGCATGAAAAGTTAATTTTGTCACATTTTTAGTGACTTTGACAAATTTAACCTAAAATTGTTAAACTTAATCTCTGATGTTCTGGACAATATTCTAATAGAGGTATAGAATATAGATCTTCAAAATAGGGGCAAGACATGTTTACTTTGTCACATCAGTTATTATAAGAGTTATTATTAGAGACTATTTCATTCTATAATCATTGTTTTTAATCTATTTACGATTTCGTATAATTTTTTGTGACAATGTAATCTCCTTTCCTTAATAAGAGCATTTTTACTTGTCGCAACAACCGGGATAAAGATAATTTTACCCAGAATACATTACAACAATGCGACTCATAAATAATACTCCAATCCGGATTTTACAATGTAAACATCAACTGATCTTAACTTGCATCAACTACATTGTCATCATATAAAATTTTCCCGCCTTTCAAACCAAAATCAGATATAAATAATTCGCCCAAAATTTTAAATTTCATATATTGTGACAGAATTAACCTCATTTCCCAATAACCAAGTGCCTGTATTAGCTAACTATTCAAAACAACATATTTTAGGGCTATGATTGGTAGAGCAACCATCAAATAATGAGTTGAAAGGGTTTTTAGGACACCTCACAGTAGAATAGAGGTATGGTATCATGAGTGTGACAAAGTTACCTAAATATTGCCTTGTAACCGTTCGATCCGTGCCCATTAACCAATGTTGTATCATAATTGTTAGATTGACCTAATTTACTATATTTCAGACCAAGGAATGATAATTAAACAAATGCAGTTAACTAAGTCACACAAAATGTGACATTTGAAACATTATAGTGCCTAACAACAATAGATTTTCTTTCTGAGCGGTGCATATGGGAGTATGGGTTACGTGGCTAATGTTCAGAACTTCTGAACGTGCTAGGTTAATAGATGTCAAAATTAAGCCACTATCGTCAAAAACGCTATTATTTTTGTTTACCAATATCCTCAAACTCAAATGAACGTGTCCATAAAACATCGGCTCATTCCACATATGATTATCTTGTTTTGCTTGTTATTGGTTTGGTTTGTAACAACAACATTAAGGTTGAGAACAAGTCTGTCCGAAGAAAAAGGCAAAACCTCTAAAAGAAGGGGTGTTAACAGACTGAAAGAGATGAAACTTATTGTAGCAGACACTTCAGCTGGTAAAATCATCGGGAAGAAAGGAGAAACTGTGAAAAAGATCCAAGAGGTATGTATGATTGGTGAACTAACATTTTAGCTCCGGTTAATTACTTTTGAATTTTGTGCAATATTTCAGTCTAGTCAATAGCGAATTTTAATAAAATCAAATTCCCAGAAATATCCTGCTTCTTGTTCTTGTGTCAAGATTAATAATAAATCACCCGAATAATAGAATGAGAAAAGAACACTTTCAGGAGAACAAAGTGAAAGTGATGCTGACAAGTAAAGGAGACTGGGGCGTGGTCCCAGGAGAACGAGTAGCAACCATATCTGGAGAGGAGGACAATGTTAACCATGCCATTGAGGAAATGCTCGCTGTTGTAGCGGTTAGTCTTGCTTTTATAAAGCTTTCGATGTACGTTCAATTGATTTGTTATGGGATTGCAAAGTATAATTAAAGGGTAAATTATTATTCAATAATTAGGATTAGATGTAATTTATTAAATTTCGAATCAGCATTTTTTCTATTTTTAGAAAGACCCCCACGCTCGGCTGGAGAAGTCCCTGGTGTACCCCCAATACCCCATGTTTGATAACTTTCTCTACCATGGACCTCCAGACAGTTTGTACAGAGGACCTCCCTCTCCTAGGTACATTATGTATTTAAATACATTATAGTGTATGTACATTGTATAATATATATTTAGCTTACCTTCATCAGGATATAATATATTGCCTTACTTGATTACTAGATTACTAGACATTTTTTTTGCATTGCTTGATTACTAGACATTTAAGCTTGAATCTTACTATATATAAAGCGAGACGATATATTATATATATGGTTCCGTGCCATTTTACTGACACCATGGCATCAACTTTAACACGACTTTCCGCAAAAACCGTAAAAGATATACAACTGAAACTTTTTTGACTGGGTCAAATGCTTTAATGGCCTTCAAATCAGCATGAAAAAATAAAAAATTGGCCAAGAAATAGGAGTTAAAGAGCCCAAAATTTGGACCCCCAAGTGGTGTCAAAAACGCGAATTAAATAGGTAATAATTATTTTATTTTTTAACTGATGCTTCAAACGATCTCTTAAAATACGTGAAATTTTTTATCTATTTATTATCAAAATAACCTCTTCTTCAGGAAAAACGTAGGCCCTCCTCCGCGATGTGGCCGAGGTGGATTTGACATCACCCCTCGATACGATGGTTATCAGAGTGAGCAACCCTTCCCCAGGCGAGGCAGGGCACCTCCTCCCTTTTACTAAAAAAACAGCTCTAATGTTGAAAACTATAATTTTGGTTGCATCAGATACTCAGATATATAGCTTTTTTCTCTTTTACGGATGATAAATGATAATGATACAATGTTGATTTGCAACCTTTAATAATAATTTAATAGTTTTTTGTGATATGCGGATCAAGGTGACCATTAAAATATGTTATTATGTACTTGATGTAATTTATATGAATTTTCTGTACGGGATTTGTAGAATTTGTAATAAGCTTGCCATTTATGTGATGACTCAAGTAGAAGAAAAAGGGGTCGCGTGTTGTGGTTCAACAAATTTCCTTGCTTTAAATTATTGCAGTGAAGCTTCATAATGGGGTTAAAACGGTAGCTGGTTCGGAAGGTTTTTCAATTTTATGTAGAATATTTGGTATCCAAAGAAGAGTTTTGCTGTTTAATGTTTATTTCTATTTATATCGGTTAAATATATTTTTATTGTTGGACAATGATAATACTTTCAAAATTAAATGAATGTTTCTTTGTAAGGAAGTAAGCACTCGATGTTTTTGTAGCTGTGTTCTGGAAGAAAATAAGATGTGATTTTTAATTGTGTGTTTCGAATTTATCATTTGCATTTATAGACATATTATGGTATTTTCATTTGCGTCGGAACCTAATAATTTCTTTTATATTATATTATAGAAGAAATTAATATTTCTCTATAATAATATAATGAAAAGCATTAAAAGATACAGACCTTCAAATCTGGGACTCATAACATATATTATTATGGTGAACTAAATTAACGATCAAGGCGAGAAAATAATCAATACTTTTTTAGTGAAATTTTGGTGCGGCCAAGATTCAACCATCATTAAATGAGAGAAAAGTAATTTCTATTTTAATTTATGGCAACAACCGTAATACTATTACGATAGTGTGTAATGTTTAAATGCAATTATCTTCAGAGATGATGGCTGCAGAAGGCCCAGCTAAGACTGAACTAAAGAGGACACCCGACGAAACAGAAGAAGATTCTAAACGGTGTAAAACAGAACTTCCTGAAAACGACACAAAACCATCAGATATCGTAAAGCCTTTAAAGAATGACGAAAACAATGGTCAGTCAAAAGATAGTAATGGTTCAACAGAAGCTAAGGATGAAACTAAAATCGCATATCCAACTAAAAAGAAGTACGCTATAATGATGGGGTTCTGTGGGGACGGTTATAGAGGGATGGCGCTGAATGTTGGGGTCAACACCATCGAAGAAGAGCTTATCACCGCTCTGCTCAAGTGCCAGTTCATAAAACCAGAAAACGCCCGAGAAATGGGTAAGATGTATTTCCAACGAGCCTCCCGCACCGACAAGGGGGTTTCAGCTGCACGACAGGTGGTTTCCTCAAACTTGAACCTGGGGCCAGATCTGAAAGCTGCTGTGTCTCAGCTGAACGAGGCGTTACCAGATAACATCACTGTTTATGATATCATCAAAGCAACCAAACATTTTGATAGCCACAAGTTTGCTTCCAGCAGAGTTTACGAGTACAACTGTCCCTCGTTTGCCATGGCTCCCACGCTAGGTGACACCTGGAGTGGATATAGGATAACTCCTCAGGTGCTGGCAAAAGTGCGGGAATTTTTACAGAATTTTGTGGGAACTAAGAATTATTACAACTACACTTCAAACAAATCCGCATCCGATCCGAGTTGTTTTAGGTACATTAGGTCAATAAGCGTATCAGATCCAGTTATTGTTGAGGACATTGAGTACATCAGGATATTCCTACATGGCGACAGCTTCATCTACCATCAAATCAGGAAGATAACCGGAATGACTATTGCTGTAATGCGCAATGTCACGCCATCAGACCATCTTGAGAAATCCTTTACAAAAGACCGTGTTGACATCCCCCTGGCACCAGGTTTAGGCTTAGTGTTGGACGAAGTGAAGATGGAGCGCTATAACAAGAAGTTTGGTAAAGATGGTTGCCACACACCGCTTGTTTGGGACCCCTACGAGGAGCAAGTTCAGGATTTCAAGATGAAGCACATTCTGAGCGTGATACACAGAAAAGAGAAGGCTGAGTCGATCATGTTTAACTGGTTACAGACCCTGAAAAAACACAAGTTCTACACCGGGGATGTTTTACCTGAAATATTGACTGGTCAGTCTGGGGAATCTAAGGGGGCAGACATTTCGGATTCCGGTGAAAAGAAGGATTCCACGACGACTGAGAGTGCTGTCAGTTTAGAAAGTTCAACAAATGCTGCTAAATGAGGATTTTTAAAATGTTTTAAATTATTATTACGCCTGCTTTTACCATCAACGTATTCTATTTCATGACTTTGTGAATTTGTTTTCTAGTCTGGGACTATGTTTTCAGTTTGGGCAAATTTAAATATTTTAGAAATTTAAAAGGCGTGTGATGAAGTTTTAATATATAATACGGTACATTATATTATACAGTATCTTTGAATGATTGAATAATTTTACAACTAACATCGCGTGACTTTATCGAATCATTTATTATCGACCGATTTATGTCAAAAGTCCTACTGAAAATGTGCTCAATCATTCAGTGAAATTACCAATGATCCGAATTTGAATCTCTATTAATAAGTACCCTATCCCAGAATGATAACATAAGAAATGGTTCCCTAACCTGCACTGTAACTATACAAGATGACAGACTACAAAGAAGAACAGGAAGGAGAGTTAGAAGCTCTAGAATCTATTTTCGTTACTGAGCTAGAGATACTATCGGATGATCCTATCATCTACAACATTGCTATCCCATGCGAAATGAGGAATGTGGAAGGGGATGGACCCGACAGAGAGTTTACAGTAGGTCTAAAGTTCATTCTCCCTGACGAGTATCCTGATGTCCCACCTGAGATTGAGTTTTCAGAGTGTGAAGAACTCGACGCTGATCTTCAGAAATCCATTCTCATAGAACTTCAAAAATGTGCTGAGAATGAAGTTGGATGTGTCATGATCTTTACGTTAGTGTCAGAGCTACAAGATAAAGTAAACGAGTACGCAGATAATATTTACAACAAGAAGTTACAAGAAAAGGAAGAGAAAGATAAGGTTCCCGTGTTTCATGGCACTTTAGTTACTCTTGAAACGTTTACTGAGTGGAACATCAAGTTCATCAAGGAAATGAACGATTCGAAGAAGGTTAAAGTGGTATCTGATAAACTGACAGGAAGACAAATATTCATGGCCAAGGAGGGTAACATTGAAATCGGCGATAATTTATTAGGGGATGCTGAAGAAGATGTAGAAGTCGATGAGTCGTTGTTCGATGAAGAATTGGAAGACGAAATGCTCGAAGTCTCTGATTCCGATTAGTTTTTGTTATGTTTTATCAAATTTGTTCGTTTTAGTTAGTTAGAAACATAAATACATTGTAGGGAAAATTGATCGTGCGTGGTGTAACCACGACGAAATTCTTATTTCATATTAGTCCTCTTGTGTGGCAGAATAACATATAATATATTAAAACTCGATTCGAATAATAGCCACTAATGTAGCACAGAAGGGCAAAAATTATTTCAAAAGCTAAAAATTAGGGCGCGAAGACCATTCTCTTTTCTTGTTAACGCAGTCGCGCAAAACTAAAATTTGTATCCGCACGCACGTACGAACTTATATGTACTACAGACGTGAGTTACTGCATAGTATTAGTACAAAGGCCGTTCGACGCGACCTTTTATTTGATGATCCGCCGCTTTTCAGGACAGTACTCAGTGCCCAGTGGCATTCTTAATTTTGTAATAAACTTCCGGGAACTGCAGTATAATTAAAAATATTGTGATCACAGCTTTTCAGCGGTATAGACTGCGGCTTAAACAAACACCTTCACACCATTTGCAAATCAAACACCAGTGCTTGTCCTATGTGCGGCGACGGAGAGGAAACTGTCTCACACTTCCTTGTATTATTGGACAGTGTCCGGCTGGCGGCTATTGCCCAAATTAGAAGTCAATATGTCCAGGACTACTACCTCTCTGTCAATGACATATTCGACAACCAACACATCACCATGATTGCCAATTTCGCAAACCGCACCAAACGCTTAATTGTGCCGGAAGAGCTGAGCTGGATCAGACCGGGGTGACTTAAAGTATTATATCATATGCTGTCTCGTCTCGTTTTACTTTTCCAAACCCAGCTGGCATTTAAGTGTATCATTTTGACTCATATCACTCCTTACACCATCCTCCACCATTCACTCTGATTTCACCGGCAACCTTCCCCAGGGTTGCCACACCCCAGAGGTAGGCAGAGCATCTCAATTGTCAATGCTATCCTCTCGTAGGCTATCTTGGCCCAGCCTCTCTTGAAAATTAAAAAAAAAGAAAAAAACGGTATAGAGTGATAGATGACCCATGAATGGCAGCTCGGAGCTAAAAAACCACTGCAGTCTCGACCTAGCTGTAGCAATTAGCATCATTAATATTCTGCTGCCGCTGCGATGCAAATTCCGTGGGAGATGTAACCGATAGACCGTTGTCATGACAAAGATAAGTTCTTCTTCTCCAAGCTTACACGAGTCTTCAAATTGTTTTTCCCTTAATTTTAATAGTTGAGTCAATGCTAGCAAATTATATAATGCTGTTGGTAGAAGGGATGAAAATAAAACCAATCAATAAAGCTGTAAGAAATTAAATGAATAAATTAGGAGCTTGAAATAGCAGTTATTAAATAATTTAAAATAAAATTGATGATAATTTAAAATCTTTCGTCGTTTCAAATTCGTGTTATTATTTGTGAAAATTATCTACACAGACTATCACAATGTTGTAGTGATTCGATATCAAGTTCACTTTAAATCTCAACCATTCAAATATTCAGGATGCTAAAAACAACCAAGCAAACAACTAAGCATATTTGAAGAGAATATTCAAACAAGGATGCGTTTGAGGATGTTGAGAGCAGATTATCCAACTTTTATAAGTATTAAACTAAAAAAATAAAAAATACTCCAAATTTAAAATTCTGCCATATTCGCTATCATGCTATAAATGAATTTCGCGAAAATTCTATTACAAAATAAATACTTTAATGGAGTTCCGCCGTATTTAAAGTAATAATTTAAGAGATAATAAAAACATCTTTTGATCTATGTAAAATTGTTTTAAAAAACACTTGTCCAACAAATAGTGATCGCAATAATCGCAATACAGTTTCTGTGTGAGAACCTCTTCAAATTCCAGTCTTCACACCGAAGTTCAGGAAAATTGTAACCAATAATCCTTTAAAACCGGGATATTATTATAGGTACCAGGATATTTCTAATAATTCGCTTGTTTAGTAAGATTTCTGGAATGTGGTTTTCTTGTAGGGCCAGGTCCAGTCCTCATCCTTACGTTTCCACAGCTGACTCTTCCTGCAGCATTTTACAAATTACAATATTGAACAATCTCAGTTTATTTAAATCAAATCAAAACTCCATTAAGCAAACACCGACAATTTACATCTAACTGTTAGTAACTTCAAGTTTCGATAAATCTGACCTGCTATTAGTGGTGTTCTCCACCCATTCCTGGTGTGCGAACTTAGACTTCCAGTTCTCCGACCACCTCTTGTTCCACAACTCACTAGCAATTCCTGGACAACATGTTGGTATAATATAGGGAGACAGGACATTTCAACCATTCCATGATTGAGTATCGAGTCAAACTCAGTTTTAAAGTCAGAATCGCAAACACACTTCAAAATCCATTCAATATTGAAAGTATTAGCTGCTAATTATCTGAGATTCAAGCTGACTGAACAATAACACTAACCGAGATAACAACAATAACACTAACCGAGATCCTTGCAACACCTCGTCAGGGCAGAAAACTTTATTTTCTCTGTAGCATCAGAGTAGTACTGTTTGCCGGTGTAAAAGGGTGTTTCACCAAATGCTTGGGATACAAATCGCTCGTGGCAATACAGAGAGTATTCCCTTATCAAGGTAACAAACTGCTCTGAAATTTCATATGTCAGCGGCCCGGTTAGCAGCCTGCTTTTTGATCTACAGTAAGTTTAGTAACTCATAACTTCTAACTCATAGAACCTTCGTAATAACAATAACTTTCAACCGAATTTAAAGTTTACATTTGTGAAACGCCATGTGTAATGTATTTACTAATTACTAATTACTAACATTACTAATGTAATGTTATTACTAATCCTACTAACTTTGTTCTCCACTTTCTGACAGATCCAAATCTTTGATTTCTCCACAAGGAACGAGAGCCCAGCCACCAACTCCAAAAGCTTTGTTAAGTGTGTCCTTGTAGTACTCCTCTGACACTTTGAGAGTGCCGCCTCTTTCTAGAATAACCTGTCAGATCGAGGGAATCATTCGAGCTTTTTATTAAGAATTAAAACAAGTCCTCCATATTATGGGACTGGCTATAATGTTAACACAAGTTCGGTACATTGGATGAACATAGGAAACATACGAACATACAATAATATGTTCGAATAGTATGAAAATTAGAGCAACAGAAAAATAGCTCCATGGGGCAAGGAGCTCTTAGCCTAGTGCAAATGTTCAAAACTAACCTCAGCATCATCGAGTGGCTGGGAAAGAATTCCTGCGATTTGCTTATCAAAAGGTTGTCCCACCCCTTCAAATCTATTATCAGGCAAAGAGCTGACTTCCTCCGGTTCTTCAGTAGCCGAACTGAGGGTACGGTGCGACACGTGCACCCCAGATAAACTTGAGAGAGGATTTGTGTGCGCTAATCTCGACACTGTACGTGTTTGAGTTAACAGCCTGCTGGAACTGCGTGCTATCAGACCAAACATCCTGCCCTAGTATCAGAGCTGAGAATTAGGATTATTTGCTGTGATTGATGATGTGATTGATGATGTGACTAAGAGCGTTACAGCCGCTAAGTTTCTGTAATTTTACGATGGCAACAATCGACATCCACAAATTTCACGGATAAATGGTAAAGTAAACAGTGATTGTACTTTTGCTTTATAAATTCTGACTTTTAAGATTGTACACATCAAAAAATCTAAATTTTATAAAATTTCAAGCAGCAAGTGGTTTGTAGTAAAGATTTGATAAGAACAACAACACTCTGGTATCTTTAACAAATATATAACAATTCGTTTAAATCATATCCATTCTAAACAAAAATTAGCAATTTTTGAAGGTATTATTAACGGTCGAAAAATAGCAGGTACCTCTAGGATTAAATCATGATATTAGGATAAATCACACATTGAGAAAGTGACTAGTTTCTGGATTGATAACTGAACAGGCATTGCGTTCTAATTTGCTTTCGTTTGCCAAAAATATTTTGTCACGGAAAAATTGAATTTCGGAAAAAAATCATTCACTTCTTAGCATTCTTAAATCTGACTTGAAGAGGTTTTCCTTGCATGGGCGTTCCTTCAAGGGACTGAATGGATCTACAAGCGTCTTCATAGTTCACCATATGCACGAATCCATATCCCTTGCACTTCTCATTCTTATCTACCACTGGCTTGACTGAGTTTATAGCTCCAAATTTGGAGAACAACTGATATAAAGTCTCGTTGGTAGCAGTTGGAGGTAGGTTGTAAACGAACACACACCACCCTTTCTCAGGATCGTAGGAAGACTTATGGCTCTCAGACAGCACACCACCACTGCTGATGCTAGCCATATCAGGTTGTAATACTGGACTCGCAAACTCGCCCCAAGTGGACCCTGCCTCAGGGTGGTATGGGTGTGCTCGTGATGCACCCCACGTTGCAGGATGTCCCTTCTCTCGAACAACAGGTTCGTTAGGCATGTGGGGCAGCAGCTTGCTTCTGGGGGGACGGTTAAACGCTGGTCGAACTATTGCTCTAGAAGGGGAGACCTCCATCCGGTGGTGTTCTAAGTAAGGGTCCCGGCCCGGTTCCCGCATGTGGGGGAGTGTAGAATAGGGCAGATCACGGGGAGCCCGTGCTGGTGAAGGGTAGGGCTGCGCGGATGTTCTTGTGTTTTTCTTAGTAATCAGTTCGGGTGTAGCTCTCACCACGGGCGGGTCTGCAAACCGAACCACCAGCTCGTCTTCTCCACCGATATTTATACCACTCAGTGCCGTGATGGCGTCCTCTGCCTCTGCCTTTAAATTGTAACGAACGTATGCTCTGCACTTGCTCTGACCCTCCATGTTCTTGACCACACGGTGGGTTATGATCTGCCCGTACACCTGGAACTGCTGATGAAGCCTGTCGTCGTCCCAGGATTCTGGAATGTTCTCAATGAGAAGGTTTGTTTCTCTTGTTTCTTCTCCTGCGGGTCTTGACAACGACACGCGCAATGTTTTCCGTCCCATCTTAAAACCGGTGTACTTTTTCATAGCTTTGTCTGCCGATTCTCGATCAACAAACTTAACAAAAGCAAATCCTCTGCTGATCTGAGATTTTCCATCTCTTATCACTTTTACAGCCTCGATCATCCCGCACTCAGAAAATAGCGTACTCAGCTCATCCTCATCGACCGTTTGTGGCAAGTAGTTAACGATTAGATTGGTACCGTCATTGTGGGCCCTAGACTTGGACATGCCTTACCTCAAAAGTGAAAAATGTTAAAATCGAAAAATGTAAAATGAGGCTATTATGTTGCTGTCTGATTTTTCTTTCAAATAGAAAGCTGGAAAATAGAAAAACGTCAAAAGGCTTTTTGAAATCGGAAAATGATTTAGAAAAGTCAAGATAACTGAGAACATGTTTGGCATAATCTATGCAAGATAGAGTATTCTTTTTTGTATGTCAAGGATTTGAGGAGACAAAAATTAAATTGCTGAAATGCATCGGTTGAAGCAAAAACAAAATATCTTATGGAAATTCATCCAATGATATCAGAGCCATTATTTGTAAAAGGTATATTCAAAATTACTGTCATATGAAAAGCCATGTAAAAAGTTTAGTCGGCCAGAAAATCGTGTGCGGTAAAATCTAAGAGATCATTCAGATAAAGGGGGAGATGTTACGTCAGCAACTTTAGGGAGGGAGGGTCAGTCTGCCAAGGGTAGAAAGTTTCGTGACAGAGAGTTTACATTCGAAAAAAGAATTAGAAACTGAAAAAATTGATCAACAAGGAAACTGGAAAGCCAAAACTTGAGACTTTGTTCATAAATTTGGAATGTATGCTTAGTGCTTGCGAGAGCGAATATGGTCATTCACTCGATACTTAATCATACTCATGTTGGAAAAGGTGTGGAATTGCAAAAAGCTAACGAACGTACGTGTGAATGATCCCTTTTATAATGAAACAGTAAAGACGCATCAAAAAGGTGTGTATTTCTGAAGTCGATAACGATTAAAACTGTCGTGCGCTGCTCAGAAATCGGGGGAACAACGATGTGGTAAGTGCTAAGTCAACGTGTTTGGCGTTCGCGCCTTCCGATAAAGTGGCCACATCACTGGGCATATTGTGCGATGACATTGCCAGAAGTAAACATTACGCCCAAAAAAGATAAAAATACAATCAACTGTGTAACAAATGTTTCACGGTTGAGTGTTTACTGTTTGTAATTCTTGATCTCGGAGATAAAAGTCTCCAGAACGAAGCAAGACAACATGGTTCATGGCTTGTTCATCCCTTGGCGTGGTGTTGAGCATCGTTATAAATAGGCTGAGGCTGATATACAATGTCAAATACTTGGTGTTCGATTAAATAAATAGCGATCCGATTCGTTGACATCCCTGAAACATAATTTAAGAATTTAGATAAACTAATGATAAATACCAAGGAAAATCAACTCATTCAATTCCAAAAACTTGCTTCAATCAGCCAGAGCTGCATTTGCTTCAATTTGAAATTTAAAGAAAACTCATACATTTATACAAACCTTGATAATTTAAGGTGATATGTCTCTATATTGAGGACTGCGTGGTTCTTGTTTGACATCTTTTCTTTTCTTGCTACGTCTATCTGATCGCGATCTACTTCTTGACGGTGACCTATTACAGCCAAAATTACCTTCACTGTACGAGTCATTCATCGCCCAATTAAATTAACAGGTGAAATGCGAAAACATTACTTACAAAGAATTAATTAAATGGGGGAGTTCTACATACTCATAACTTGTACTGACCTTGATCGAGAACGTGAGCTCTCCGAACTGGAACTAGAAGATCTGGATCGTCTTGAGTTGCGTGATGAAGGAACAGCACTGGCGGCTTCACGCTCGATATCTCTCCGACTGTACCCGAATCCTGGCCTATCAGCCCGCTTTCTATCGTTGTTGCTACTGCTGCTACTCCCTAAACCTTCTCTATTGTTGCTACTGTAATCGTATCCTCCTCTGCCACCACCGCCGCCACCACCACCACCGCCATGGCCACCTCCGCCACCGCCACCCCTCTTGTCTTTGAACGGCCGATCTCGTTTCTGTAGTGATACGATTATTGATGATGATGGTTTTACGTTGCAGTAGGGTAAAACATCAAGAGTCAATAGAAATTTTATTTATCAGGTTTTTAAATGTGTGCATGGGATCTTTAAATATTAATCTTATATTAATATTTATATTAATCGCATTAATAGGCCGAAATCAAAATATTACTGACTCATACAGGGTGTACCATAGAAAATGTGACTTTTTTGAGAAATGATACAGAATATTATGAAGGAGCAGTTGCTAAAAACTCTTCATCACATTGTGTCACTAGGTGTCGAATTTATGCATACCAAATTTCAGGTCCCCATCAATTTTTGATTTCTTACAAATTGCTATTTTGTTATGGTGCTAATTTAGGAACTTAAGCTTGCTCTAATTTAGGGGTCTCAAGAAAAAAATTTTCGAAATCAATATTTTAGCTATTTTTGACAGTAAAGAGTAATGTCTATCATTTGCTTTTGTTCCTATCAAAAAATTTTGTTCCTAGCCGAAGATATCGCTGGTCAAAGGTCAGCGCTCATAAGTAATTGTATTGTGCGAGCGATTTTCTATCACGCGTAGTGAAAATCGAGTTTATTTGGCGTAGTGAAAATCGAGTCTAAAAATATTTTTTCTCCGACTGTTTTTGATTAATCACCCTGAAACTTTCAAAATATGTGTTAGGGATCATTTAGAAGAGATTGTCCAAGCAGAATTTTGAGGAAGGTCTTTAAAACGTTTTTATTATATTTTGAAAATCTTGGACCTCAGCCATGAATAATGTCAATTTCAGACTAAAATATTTAATTTTTGGGAAGGGTGGCTTTTTTTGGAAGGTGCTTCACTATTAACCATATTTTTTATTACTATCATTAATTCAAATATATTTCCAACAAAATTTAGTTAAAAATAAATATGAAGTTTGATTTTGTAAAAAATTACAGAAGTGGAAAGAAGTCACACTTTCTACGGTACACCCTGTATTTCGAGCGCGTAAAACCCTGCTGGACCCAATCCGTGTTGATAGATTATCGCAAATAAAGCAAATTATCATCAGATTCTTTGTTTCTAATCGATGAATAGCGAATCATGATTGTAAAACACCTGTTCCAAAATTATACTTTTATGACAGTATAACACCTCTACGAGTTGGAATGGATTATAATTTCATGAAAAGATGCTTTGACAGTTTTACACTTAAGGTGTGATATTGACTGTGTTTAGTTGTGATTCGATAAAAGATTGAGGAGTTGCGCTGAAGGTGTTAAGCGGATGGTTCTCATTGAAAAACATTTGGTACAACGACAAATAATAGGACATTTTTATATAAAAACGATTCTCCGATAGCTCATTTCTAGTTTCTTATATCATTTAGAAATGAGTGTTCCCAGAGTTGCTACGATATTCTTTCTGCTGGGTAAGTTTGACAAAATATTAAAGTATAGTTTATTTTTATTGAATTACGGATATTTATTCTGCAAGTAAGAAGGTCAACTTATAACAGAAGAATCATAACATTCCCCCTAATGTATTTCAGCAGTGTCCAGCTGCCACAGCATGAAGTTTGAACCATGGCGGACCCTTCCCGGTAAGATGAAGAAAGTAAGTGCCGGTGTAAAGGGAATCTACGGTATAAATCTAAACAACGACGTGTACCGCCTGAACGGTAAAACGTGGACTGCAATTGGATCAGGACGAAACAACGTTGTGGTAGCGAGCGGTGTGGATGACGTGTGGATCTTAAAAGAGGACGGCAGTATCCGAATTGGGGACGGGGAACGAGACAGCTGGACGACAATCCCAGGAAATCAGAAATCTCTGGACGTCAGCAATAACGGTAACGTGTGGAGTCTAAACAGGCATGGACCAATTTGGATATACAGAGGGAGGGGAGCATGGGGGAAATTAGACGGTGGAGGAGTTCAAGTGACAGCAGGGAATAGTGGAGTGTGGCATGTTAACAGTAATGGGAAGGTTTACTACAGACGGTACACCTACAACGACCCTAACACTGACGGGTGGGGCTGGGTGGAGGTATTTGCACCAGTCGAGATGAAGTGGCTCGCTTCAGGAACAAACCTGCTACTCGCAGTCAGCAAGAAATCAGATCTGTACTACCGGGATGGAATGAGCAGTGGCAGTCCTACGGGTACACGTTGGGTAAAAGTATCCGGGATCAAACTGGATATGGTGGCGGTGCAGCACAACTTGGTGATTGGCACTGATTCCAGCAATAATGTCAAGTATTCGAAAATTTTCTATTAATTCTTTTCGTGATCATTGCAAAAATATAAGTTTTTATGTGTCGCTACCGACTGTATTCTGATTTCTGATGTAAGGTCTCTTAAAATCGTTAAAAACGACCAGGCAATTAAAATCAACCTTCTACTCGCTGATAAGAGTAAAGCAGGTAATTATCCCGGTATCTTAACTTACATAAATTCTGTTCATTGGTAAATAATTTCTCCGTACAATTAACAAAAGAGTAAGATAAACTTGACCAACCTGTTTGGAGCTACTAGAGCCACCACCACTAGGACTCTCATTGAAGTCGGGAGGTTTGTAATCTCTCACGTGGTCCACCTTCAGAAACCTATTACACAATCTGATACCGTTTAGATTGTCAACTGATAATACCGTGCTCCTCTGGTCTTCAAAGTTGATGAAACTGAAGCCTTTTGGCTTACCCGTGTCCCTGTGGAGGAAATGTTAACTTTTGAAACTCGACTCTTACACTGTGTAAAATTACTTCATGTAAATTTCAGACAAACGTTTAATTTGGACATGTTTTAAATATTGGCGCTACAAAGTTTTGAATTTGTCCGAGGAGAGCAGATCGTTTTCACAATCAAGAATTGTACAATATGTACATTGTACAGGGTGTACCAAAAATAAGGCGACCAAGTGATCAGTGTTAATAATTTAAGAATGGTTTAAGAAGTAAAAACTTTATTTTTCATTCTACAAATGTATGAATTTCTCCGAAGAGATGGGAGCTATCGATCGGTACTGTACAAATCTTAAATAAGGCCATGTGGTCTGAGCCGGTTAACCTTGTTGCTTTCAGAATATCATCGACTATTATCTAATATCTCACCAACACGGTATGTACACATCAGTTAACTTGATCAGATTCATGAAGAGATGAAGTGATAATCAGTAATCACACCAGCCCAGCTACTATTAAACTTTTATCATTTCTTGGTGGGGTAATTATAGTTTCCCAAGTGACCCGTTTTTGTGCAGGCAATTACAGGAGCTGTGGTAAAAAGAACCACCCGCAAAGTCAGAATTAATTAATGACGAATGATTAAATTATGACGGATTACTGTATGCTGAGAACGTCTGATTGCATCCACATAACTGCCGAGATTTCTCCTAATTCTCAGATCCTTGCTACAATTAGACATTGTACATTGTACATACAGTATGCAACCCAGTGCAAGCTAAGTTAACAAATGCAAAGCATATTTGTCTCATACAAGATTGTCCTTTTTACATGAAATTGAATATCCAATATTTTAATTCATCATAATATTGATGTAGTAAATATCAATTTCTACAGTTAAAGACCAATAATTACCTATCTTTAACGTAGTTGAGCTGAACTATTTTGCCGTACTGTGAGAACACAGCCTCAATATCACCCTCTGTCAGCCCATAGTCCAGACCCCCCACATATATCCACGAGCTACTCTTGTAGAGATCGTGCCAGCTTTTTCGGGACCCTGCTGCTTCCAGCTCAGGGTTTTGTGAATCCAACATGTCTCTCATTGACATTCTTTTCTATCCAGCTCAGATGTTACAAGCTCAGATGTTACATAGACTTTTGAGTAAATATGTTAGTACAGGGTTATTACCGTGTATAGATCGTATTTGTACTGGGTAGGTTAAGGTATTAATTAAAAGTTGACGAGAGAAATTTAGAAAAATGCAGTTTATATAAACATTAAATACAGGTATGCTTCGGTAAATATAGAATTACAATTTACAACCGATATAATTCAATTTACATATTATTGAAACTTGGTTTGCAAGTACTAAACACACGATGACGTATTCTTTCATTATATCAAACTCGAAAATAAAGTTGTGATAAAGTTACCTGACTTAAATAATAATTATTATACACATGATAATATCAGATATCTTGTACTTGTTCGTGGTCATAAAATCTCAGTTCAGTTAAAATAGTAACTTGACGACGCCCGAAGTTCGTACTTAATTTACATTTTGTTCAGCTAAAATGTTATGTAAAGAGATAATAATTCAAAAAAACCCAGGCACAAATAGTTTACATAATCACACACTTGAATAGTTACGTTTTTAAAACTGATGAAGTGCAAACAATTCGGTCACAATTCAGGGTACAAAACTAAAACTTAGTTGACAAAGACAAAATATTCTGACAAACGGAACAGTGAACATTTTATCATAACGTCTAGAAAAACCAATAATAGCAACAAATTCTTAACAGTTCTGCTGATTCAAGCAGTGCTCAAAAAGTCTCATAAGAAACACATGTAATTCATTTTGCAGTTTAGCTCATCACATGTATTTCAAATACCACTTCTCCACTTCTCTCACATCTCAGCCTCACTGGCACTGGATTCCTCGTCATCACTGATTATCTCCTGGACGAACAGGGTTGTAGCACTCTGTATTCCCATCTCCTCACAAGTCTTGTGGTGTGCATCGCCCTCCACAGGTAGCACTCGTTTGGGGAAATTACTGACAAGCGTGAAGAAAATGGGGGAATCATCACATGTTAGGGCAAACTCGTAGATATCTTTAATTGTGGCAACTGGAGAGAACTTTCTAGAGACTCTGGAACCGTTAGGAAGTCGGAAAAGCAAGGACAAAGTATCTTCTTTGGTTTGTTCTAGAAGGTTCTCTTGCAGCTTCAGACGGAGTGCTAATCGTGCTTCTATTTTCTCCTGCTTCTCCCTCTCCTGTCGCTCCTGCTCCTCCTGTATCCTCCTTATTGCCCTCTCCTCTTCCTCCTTCTTTCTGGTACGCTCCTGATCTCTTAACAAAGACTCCTGATACGCTACATCTTGCTCTTGCATAATCAGCTGAGAAGACGTGCTTTCGCTCACACGTTCATGGTTTCTACTTCTGCGTTGTCTGTTCAGATGGGGCTCATTTTCTACGATGGAAGTGGTTAATCGCGAGATAATTTGCTCTACAGTGGCAGCGCCCTGGTGTTTGTAGACCATTCTCATCTGTCCTTCTTTGTAGCAGAGCAGGGCGATAAAGGGAGCTTTTGCATTGTTCAGACTTTCAGCAACACACGCTCCTTCCCTCTTCTTGACAGAGCAACTCCAGTACAGTAGGTTGTCCTCTACCACACTCTTCAGGAGATTGGTGCAGATGACATTGTTAGCAAATTGCACTGAGGTGGGGTTGTCCTCGTTGTGCAGATACACAAAGAGGAAGCGCAAGTGCCGCTTGGCATGGCTCACAGCCTCACGGTATGTGCCGTGGTACAGCCTGGGGTGGAGGACACCGTGTTTGTTATCAAACTCGGTGATAAACCTCTCTACCTCCTGACCAGCTTGACGCTGGGTTGGTGGTCCTGGGCTAAAGAAAAGTGATAAAGCAAAGTGGAAGATTGTCTGTACAATTTTATAGGCTACTGTCATGGGCCAGAGAATTATGTTCCAAAAACTTCCGAATAAAGTTTGAACAACTGATCTGTTCTGTCTGTTAATGACTGGTCCCTGCAAACTGCTCAGTCGTGGACCGATAAAGTTTGCATTTTCAGGATTCAATGCTGGGTTATTGAAACTGGTGATAAGGCGTTGCCGCACTTCATTATCAAAGTTGCTGGATGTAAGATGTTCTGAAAGTCTGGAGGTCTGGGGCTGGCTGCTTGAAGAGGGTACTTCTTCGTTACTGTTGGAGGGCATTGTCTCCATGGGAGGTGTTGGAGGTAGGGGATTGAAGGAGAGTTGCACTGCTTGTTCAAGGTTCCAATTTGACTCATCCAGGAGTCTCAAACATTCTTCTACTTCAGTTTTACCTTGAAATAAAATTGGTCAATATTTGAATTACAATTAGCCTACATTATAATTATATACAAAGTACCTGTTATCTCACTGTGTAGCATTATATGACAGGATGAGAAAATTCACAGCAGATCACATTTTGATAGAAATATAGAAAAATGAGTGGCAATTACCTGTTACTTCCTGAAAATGACTTAGAATCTCATCTTGATTTAGATTGATGTCATTTTGGTTTGGTTCCCTGGTACCATTGTCTGACTCGGGAGGGGTATTTTGATCGTTCACTTCATTTACATCTCCATAATTTACCATGCTGTAAAATAAAATGTTACAGAAAATAAAGTAATTCGATAATTACAGATAATTTGAATAGAAAATAAGTCAAATAAGAAGTTATGATTACATCTCTGCATAAGCGGTACAAGCAAGCAATTGTTTTCTAAACTCCAATTCAGAGAGAATTTAAAGAGTCTATTCGAGCACAAAGTTGAAACTTACTTATTACACAAACTGTTAAATCTATAGACCCTATTAAACAATAAACATGTCGAACAACAGAGTACAGACCTACGCTAGCATGGTACTAAATAATTAGTTGCAGTAGTGTACACCTCAAAAGACAGGGGATGAGTAAAAATAGTTGACAACTAGTGCACAAATTTATTTATAATTTACAACCTTGAAAATACCAAGACGGATACAAATCCGTGAATGATATAAAAATTAATATAATTATTAAAAAATACAATTTAAAATAGAATTAAGTTTGATTTATCATAATATGTTTATAATAAACAAATAAATATGGTTACTACTCCTAGATATCATATTATTTGATTGGTATTCGATTTCTGATTATTTCTCTAGGAATATGATTATTATATCTCAATTTGGCTTTAGGTAGGGTGCCCCGCTAAAAGAACTGGATTCTTCCAGGAAGCATCCCGTGCACAGACCTTAGTCTACATATATATTAAATTATTAACCATTCATTCTGTATGTGCACGAAAATTTATTTCAATCAATATTTTATTAAATACAATACATATTATATCAAGTTTTAAAAGTTAGTTGAAAGTGCTGAAACCATAATATTGTGATCATTTAAAATACTATGATAAAGTTTTACTGTCCTAAGTGATATAATAAACAAGCAACAAAAACAACACACAGCCTAAGTTGATGAAACCTTTACACATATATCACTAAAAGTTCATAGGAGTTAGGCAAGTTATGTAAGATCAATGAATGTGTCAGAGAGAAACACAAAAATATTATGTTAAAAGTCAAGGAAAACACTGTGTACAGCCTCCTATCCTACAGAAGCCTTCTTTTTCTTCTTCGAATTCACAAGGACAGATCTCCTCTTAAGTAAACCCTCCCATGCTTCCTTAAAATTGTCAGAATCCTTCTTGTGAAGGTTCAATCTGTCCCGAAGTGACTTAACATCTATGGTATTTATAAGCTCATTTATGGGACAGGCCCGAGAGTCTAGAACTGTTTCAAAAAATAATTCATCAGAGTGTAAAAAGCAGTTGAGTTGTGGGGAAACTTTCAGGTCTGAGTGCTGGAGTTCCAGAAGTTCAGGAGATTGAATGGAAAAGATTTTGCAGAAAGAATCCTGTTTGATATTCACCATTACTGCACTGATTAGGAATCATGATATCAAAATTAGATATCAGTGACAAGATACTTCTGTTGCCAAGTTTTTCGATATTGTAAGGTGAAAGAGCAGTGGCGTAACGAAGGGCCCCGCTGACCCTGCTCGCACTGTGCGGGGGGGGGGGGGGGGGCGCTGTCTTAGGGGAGCGCTGTCTTAGGGTTGCGCCAAATCGTTGTTTGAATATGGGACAATTTCGAAAAATTATCTAAAGAACTAGCAAAACTGTGCGTTTTGCTCTAGATACACACTTTTTTAGAGATTTTACTGGCGTATCTTCTAAGATCACCAAATTTGTTCAATTTTAGGGAGGGGGCGCCAACAGGGGGGCGCTTTTTCGGCGGGCGCCATCAGGCAATGTTAAGCCACTATGAAAGAGGGAGCACGATTGAAGGTAGAAAGTTCCTGTATAAAAATTCAGCCATGGTTCGACAAGTTTTTGACATGGTTACAATCTTTGAATAGAATCTCTGAATAGGACAAATAATTAAAAACCATCATCATAATCCCTTCAAACAGGCTAAAATAGGATGACGTTTGGTTAGGAATGGTTCCATAAGTTAAACATCTGGGAGTGACATCATGCTGTTTAACAATTAGTCCCGTTATGTCATCAAGACGTTCAATCCGTTGACCAACATGTAATGGGCATTTAGATTAACATGGACATAATAAAGGATGTTACAAATGTTACATGGACAAATAGAAGTTCTCCCTGTATGAAGTACTGATAGCTGGCTATATAAATTAGATAAAATCTCGGACTAAATTAGTTATTTACTAAAAAAGCCAGTTAGCAAATACGTTAATCGAAATTAATGCAAAACACAAGAAAATAAACTTTTTCGTGGATGAGAATTTTAAAGTATTTTAGGTAAATTAATTTTGAAATAATAAAGTTGTAAGAACGATACTTTTATTTTTATTGATTGACAATTCCAAACCTTTCAATCGTTGCTTTGCTCTGCGACACAAGCATGATAATGAGTGCGGCGCGTTTAAGTCTTTTGTTAACTTCAAAGTGTTTATAAACATTACCAGCCTGGGTTTCCGGTTAAAATTAAATTATAGCAGTTTAAGGTTTTTGAAACTTTCGCGGCAGAAATGAAATAAAATTAAAATATGATTATTGCTGTACTAACATACTAATTCACCTAGCTGCATGAATCTACGCGTACTGCGTGACGAGCGCTGCTTGTTTCGAAAGTAATATATCCTGTGCCGCCTTCGACGGTCGCGCGCTACTGCAAGCGAAAGGGCTCTGGATAGAGCAAACATACTAGCATGAAGCAAATTTTTTTAAATGACTTTGACGGATGCATTATTCGTCTAAATTTTTTCGAAGTAGCGCACGCCACTTTCTTCTCGAAATGGTATGGCAAGTGCTACGAAACATGGTCAAAATGACTGTTCTGCTTGTCATACGTTATATATATATATGACACGCGGCGCACGATTGGGCGGCTCCCCCTGTATCGTAAAAACTCTACCATAGTGAAACGACCGTGGGGGTCACGACGTAATACAATGTACTGCACAGTGGAAAATTAAATTAAACAAACACGTCAAATGAATTGTATTCACAGAGTCATGGATCTACGCGTACTGCGCGCGGTCGATGGGTGACGTGTACACTTAGCCTTGTAGCGCGATGCGTTACTGTGCCGTGCCGCGCACTCAAATATGATTCTCGCTAGATTGGCGAGATGCGCTACTTAAGCCTCGCCGAGCTGCGAAGAATTGACATCGTCCGCGTCAATTGAAGTTAAGCAATGAATTGTAGGTTCATAATTTACCAAAATGCGACATTGTTTTGTTTAAATCATTGATACATGTTATGCATCACCGACTTCGCGCGCAAAATGGCATGCAACGTATGTCAAGTCAGTTAAGGGGGCTAAAACCCACTTTGCTTAATATAACAGACCCTACACACAATCAGCTGCCTTTGTGTTTTCATGCTTTTCAAATGAAAATACGAGTTTTTTAACTTCAGCACGTATAAATTCGGGTCCTGAGATCTATTTTAATTTTTATTGTTTATTAACTTTATAGGTTTTAAAGGTTTACAATATGATTTAAATGATAACTAGTTGTTGCTGCTAAATCGAAATCGAAATTGGCACTAAATACCGATGATTGCAGTATTGTTCTTTCTGTTTGTTTGCCTACATATTTCGAGTTGTTAACTTGTTTGAAATAGGTCGACAGGATATATATTGTATACAATTACTCTGCCACCTATGCTAATATGCAATTTGTACATTAACCTGATAGACTTTCCTAGATTCAAAAAGAAAAGGGGACTCAAGCCCATGTAGCTGAGACACCTCACAGCAAGTAGACCAAAGTGGCTCTTGCTTGTGAACGGTGCATCAACTACCCGCCGAAACGGTCATAAGTACTCAGTACACCTGCAACGATTTTGGGATGACAATTTGATCGATTTTGTTTTTATTACGTTGGGTTCGGTGTGAGTTATATTTTAATGGGCTGTATTTTAAGTTGTGATGAACATTTTTTGATGCAACAAGCTGATTATCAACGAATACTATTAGCTTCCTATTTGTGACACGTTTCTAGTTACTGTATAAATTTATTCGAATAATTTGTTATATGATGCAATGGTTAATTTGTGGATCTAACAAAATTTACATTGTGTGTCTGTACAATATTTGGACAGTGTTATCTTTCGTAGAAGAAATTATTCCTCAATTCAAATATAGGAAAGAAAAATTTTTAGGAAAGAAAAATTTTTATTTACCACAAAACAATCAATACATAATGTTATATTCATAAAAAAATCCAAATTTCAATTTCAAACACATATACAGTACGCCGCGCACACAGCCACAATTTTCAATTGTTCAGAAATTCGTAGGTCAGCTGTAGGCGCCGCGCACAGGATCTATTTAATTGTTATCTTACAATTACATGTCGCATTTCTTAATTACTAGAGCCAAAATTTCAGAAGCAAAATAATTTAAAAGATATTTCTGTCGTTCACGCAGTACAGGCCGTGAGCACTGCGATCTAATTAATATAATAATGGAGAGATTCCAAAAACCGCGCGCTCGTTATTTGTGATTAAATTGAGTGCGCGCCTCTGTGAACAGCAGTACCGCTCAAGCATGAAGTACTAAGCGGTACGCAGTTCTGCGTGAGGCGTAGACATTTGTAGCACACGTTTCATTCAACTAATCAATATATTTGAATATTGTTATTGGCAATAAGATCTGATATATGATACAGTATTCTATGTATAAAACGAATGTATGTGCTTTAAAGTGAATTTCCAGGTATGTCTTTTGATGCAGTGAATGCTGAAACCAATGACTTAATTCTCCAATTCCAATCCTTGTATAGGGGTATATTTGTACGACGATCAATCAGCGGATGTTTTTCTGAATTCCACCATTTGAGTGAGGATCTTGGTATTGAATCATGTTCACACAGTATAAAGTTCATAACCTCATTATGGAAGAGACGCAATATTACCAACCAAGACGATAGAGGTGGAGATGATTTTGCAGCTTCTGAGGATATCAAAGACATTGCGCCAGACTCCCCAGCAAAACTTTCTGTACAACTCAATGAAATTGTTCCTACTTTAATTGAGAGGAGACACTTAAACCAAGACTTGAAAACTGTTGCATTAGAGGAGCTAAAAGGACAATTATCTGATTTGACTCAAGAGAAATTGTGGCTTGAAAATGCAATCCTAGCTCGAATTGAATATTTGACCAACTGTTAGATCTTTTGAGTCTTCTTTGTTTATCTTTTTCTATATTTTACTATTTTATCCTGTACCCTTATCATAGTGATGCATGATAGGGGGGGGGGGGGGGATTTCTGGGGCTTTTCACTTTTGTTAAATGAGCAATCGCATGAAAACCGCATGTGATATGGCTGAAAATTCATTAAACTTAACGAGTTAAATCTTTAAAAATATAAAAATCAATCAATCCTATCATAAGTTACAGTCATTCAAATATTTCTAAAATTGAACTGTTTCTATTGCAAATCGCGAAAAGCAATTTTGTAAATTAGTCAACATTTAAATTGACTGTATCATTAATGTTAAATTATACATTCTAGCAACTTTGCTATCTATTTCATATTCGTTTCCATTCAATTTTTTAAACTTATCCTGATTAAGTAACCATTGACTTAACCAATAAAATTGAGGTAAACACACGTCACACAATAGCACATACAGCTGCAAATATATTATAAAGTAACCTCTGTTCACTTTCATAAGATCAATGGAGGATTTACAGATAAGTGGCCGCTCATCAGTTTCATCCTCCCGCCCAAGGCCAAAAGCAAAGACATTGGTGAGAATCCAGAATAGTGCTCAAAGATTATTTTAATATTTAAATGGACATGACTGTAAAAAATCTTTAAGGCAATATTATCTTCACAGTGTCTACATTCTAAAGTAGGGAAATTGATATATTTCCGTTTAAACATTCGAAGTTCGAAGATGCTTGTGATTATACCACAAGTTAATAAGTTATTTTTATACCACATATTTCAATTGTAGTCATTGAAAGTCATTGAAATATTCTTACAGGGAGTCAACTTTTCTCAAAGAAAGAGGGAGAAGTCGGAACCAGGCAAAAACCCAAAAAAAGTGACTATTTCTAAAGGTATGTTTGTCAACATGATACTCAATAAAAAATATCCAATAAAAAATGCTAATTGATTAAATAGTTAAATGGAAGCTTTCCTAAAACTGAATACAGATTATATGCCTCTTTAGTCTTCATATTGGAACTGATCACCAAATTTCTAAATAATCTGTAACCTAATTATAGTGAATTTATGTAACGTTGTCACAATATGTTGTTTAATTTGTTTTGATAGTAATTCATAGTTTTATGTGCTAAATAATCAGAGCAAATAGTTTTTAGTTATTGTTAAAATCATTCATTAGATTCCAGAGCTTCCACAACTTATCTGACCAGTCCCAGTGGGGCTGAAAAACGTGGCAATCCACTGCTCTGTTCTTCTGACATTTTGGACAGACTTTCTCGGTCCCTTCCACCCTCACAGGTAATGTAGATTGATAACACACTAGAACTTGATTAAAGAACTTGACCTTTCCCCATTTTATAAGTTTGTTTCTTTCTTTGTTCCAAAAATCAATTTTGTATTCCTCTTTGGTCTACTGTACATCCATCGTTGTTAATGGCAACCAATTTAAAGGAAGTTTTCGATACATAACCTTCCTTATTCCTAACACTTTCAGAACATTAACTATGAACAAGATCTTCCTGTTAAGGATTCAGTGGTAATGAAACCTAACTTCTCTGCACGAAATGAGGGCAGGGATCAGGCAGCTACTAAGATTCAGAGACATTGGAGAAAATACCAGGAAGATAGGAAGAGGAAAGAGACTGCTGACGAGAATCAGAACATATTTAAGATGAGTGAAGAGGTATATCATCACAGAAATAATATGACCTTTTGTCTTAAAATTAATTGGTTACATACTGTACATACTACAAGTGAACGAATTATAGTTTTCAATACTGCAACCTTTGGTACAGACCATTCGGCTGATTTTTATTAGAAAGAAAGTAACGAAACATTAAGATTCGATTTTATGAACAACTATAACTTCAGTTGAAGGAGATGCTGGCTCAGGAACGGAAGAAGGTGCTTGCGGATCGTGAGAAAGAAAGCACAGCAAAAGTTAAAAGTAGAGTTGACGTAGAGAAAAAGAAAAGAGAGGTAGAATAATTCGCATATAACTTTGTTTCTCATTATATAATATACTTGATATTACATAGTATATAAGTATAACTTAAGACTGTGTCAGTAAACATGATGCACCAATCTATACGATAGATTTACCTAATTATGATCAAAACAATGTTAACAGACTACTATCGCAGGCCAGACTAAAAGCAATCGAGGAACTCAATAAAAAACGTGAGGAGAAGAGAAAGTTGCAGCAACAAATTTTACAAGAAGAACTTCAACTCACGACCGAGACCAATAAAACGAAACGAAAGATCGTCAAGAGGGCTGTCACTCCGAAGACGGGCATCAACAAAAATTCCCCTCCTAAAAGGAAGTCCAAAACGTAAAGCAGAAGGGGTCAGAAACGAAATTGGAAGATACAACTAAAACAGATGCAACAGATACAACATATGACAACCTTGTAGAGGAGATATTCCTCACAAACACCCGTCAAGTCACAGCAGCAGCTGACTCAGATGTAGATACTCCCAGAGCTGGGTGGCAGCCAGAAACTGGGAGCTCTTCTGGGACACCGCCAGCACAGAGAAGTGACAAAAAGGAAGGAGCCAAGAGTGGAGTTAGAGGCAGCATCAGTGTAAGAGAGGAGAAGAAAGCGTTCACTTCTCTGTTGGAGACACTGAAGATGTTAGAGGTGGAATCAGAGGAGGCACTGAGCGAGGCTAAGAGTTCCAGCATCATCATACCCCCAACTCCTAAACTTACGCAAGGAGAAGTCTACAGGTTTTTTTTTTTCAAGTTATTTTTTAATTGCTAAGATAAAATGTTGTTGACAACAAGCTTGTGACTGCACTAAAACAGGAGATTAGTAATACACAAAGTATTACTAATCATCTTATCTGATGATTTTCTATTCATATTTCTACTCTATTGGCTATTTAAATTCGTCTAATTGCAAGATTGGATAGGTTTGGAGCAAGTGAACTGCACACCGGGGGTGTCATGCAGAGTGGTAAGATAAAGAGTCTCCTCAACTTCCTGGATCACGTCGATAACACTTCCACTCCCTCTGAAGTCGACTCACTGGTATGCTGCAGATATTTAAATATTTCCATTATTTTATTAACTCGTGATTCACGATTTTGTTAACTCGTGGTCTTTTTGATTATGAAAGATTGAATTTAAATTTCACACTCTACAAATGCACACGGTATTGTTCAAATCCTCGTCAATACCAGATTTAAAACATTAAATAATGAAGAGTTTAAATCCCAAATAGTCAGACTGAGCAGGTTGAGCTGTAGTAATACACAGTACTGAGGTGTTAAAACATTTTCATTACTATCTTCAGTAACATCCTCAAATTATTTGTTATATAGTAGTGTTGAAAGTATTAAAACACACAAATGATACCCTGTTCCAGACATCATATCCTCAGACCTCAGCAGCAGCCCTGGAACAACGGCGTCTGTACAATGTTAGCGCTGCAGTGGAGGAAGTAACTGAGAACATCAAGGACACTCAGAACAAACTGAACTGTAAGGGAGAGCAGATAGAGATCCTCAAGTCAGAGCTGTCTACCACATCCAACAAAACTGCTCAACTTCAAGCTCAGGTACATGATCTAGTACTGATCATTTGCTGTTGTAAGATTATGAATGCTTTTAGATTTAATATCCAATGTCAATTTTGGGCAATTTTAATTATGGCTCTTAGTCTTAATTAGTACCTTCACAGATATTTGCCACTAAATTAGAAAGTGATGAGAAGGCTAAAGCGGTAGCGATGTTAAGAAGAGCACTTGATGAACAAAGAGATCTTACTCTTCGTCTTACTAGTGAACAGGTTCGTTGGTTCGCGTGGGCCTGGTGTTAAATACTTTACAGAATTGTGACAAACTAATCTCTGGTAGATTTTGGGGACGTAATAGCAACACATATATGATTAGTTTCAATAGGAGATTTTAAGTCGTAATCTTTTTATTTCTATGAACTGCCCTCACTACACATATTGTTTCACATTGTTAAAACTAGTTAATTTCAGGAGAAAGATGCTCAACAACGGTTGTCAAACCAAAAAACAGAGTACGAGACCACAATTCAGAGACATCTCGGTTTTATTGACCAGCTCATTGCTGACAAGAAAGACTTGAGTGATAAGGTGTGTATGGAGTATGGAACTACGTGGATTTGTATAAGTCATACTTGAAAATATTCGCTTAGATCGACTAATTACAGGTATCATAAATTATTATAGTTCACACCGAAACTCAGGTTGAGACTTTGATGACACAGCTTCGAAGCACCGAAAAGAAGCTGGGTGATAGGGTAAAGCTTCTCGAAGAGGGTCAAAAGGTTGAGGTGAAGAAGCAAAGAGAGGCCATTGAAGCCGCGGAAAAGATCAAAAGGTACAGTGAAACCCAAAAGTAACGATGTTAAGATAAAATAATATGATATATTACTGTATGTACAATTCAATAAAAAATAATTTCAATTTACACAATTCGATCCAGTAGAAAAATAATGTTCTTCACACAAAGGTCTCGTTGACAATCCAAGGATGTTTGATAAGTTTGCGAAGGGGTAGCATGTGTTCAGTGTTTGGGTCCAGACAATCCAAGATGAGCGAGTAAACATCAGAGCTGACAGAGTTTGGAGGTAACATCTCCCACCTCACGTTATTCCGAGCAGCATCAGCAGCAGAGAGAAGGGGTTTAGAACCGGACAAGAGCTCGAACAGGAGACACCCCACAGACCAAACCACACCACATTTAGGGGTGTAGGACCCGTGTCGGTACAGTTCAGGAGGTGTGCATGTGGTGGAGGATGAAGGGAGTTTCAGGGAGTGAGGCAGGACCGAGAGTACGGAGGAGAGTTGGAAGTTTCCCAGTTTTACCTCGTTGGTTTCCAAGTCTAGGTAGATGTTTTTAGTGGAGATATCCCGGTGATCAACTCCGTTGTTTAAGCAGTGGACAACAGCGGATAGCAGCTGCTGGATGATGTTTCTAACTTGGTCTTCGTTAAGAATGTTGGCTCTGATGACGTCAGAGAGAGGTTCCCAGCTACTGGAGTACTCCAAGATCAGGGTCCAGGTCTTGCTCTCACTCCGGTAGGAGTAGTGGAGGAGTCTCTGGATGTTAGGATGTGAGAGTTTGAGAAGGTTGTAAACTTCTACAGGAATCAGCTCGTTGGCAGATGTGGTAACAGGCAGAGTAGGGGAGTAGGGGATAGTCTTCAGCAGAACTTCCATAATAAGAGATTGTTGATATTGATAAAGTAATGGGATAATTTGAAGTTTATAAAAATGTGATGTCGGTTAAAAAGTGTACCCTGTATTTATAGTCTTGTAATACCTCGCATCACAAGGCGTACACGTGATCTTGTCACGTGATTAGGTGACTGACTGCTGATTACATGCCACAACGTAAACAGGGAGGTGAGATAGGGAAAATGTTTTGACAAGTGGGAGTCGATCATGTGATCCCATGATTGCATATTCGTCGCAGAACTATGTCGAATCGTATCATGTGATTAATATTCAAGGAATTTCGTAAAGCTACCATAACAAGGTGGAGGGAACTGCCTCTTTGCAGATAAGATATTGTTCTGATTATACTGAACAATCGTGCAATCAAAGTGGTGTAATCAGGGTGAACTGGGTAGCTGCTTGATAATTGTGGAACATCTTAATTACAAATTGTGCCTAAAACATGTAGTATTTTACCAAAGCCACTATTTCTTATTGCTCTAACAACAGAGGTATAACATTGAGGTCTACAGCTTCGATGCTCCTGCAGACGATTCTCCTGCGGAGACTAAGCAATGGCATGGCATGGAGAAATTTCTCTTGGAGAACCAATATGGTTTTAGACAGAATCGCTCCAGTATGGGCAAAGTCTATTCACTCAGTTTTACTTATTATACACCAATGTATAGAATATAATATTCCTCTGTATATCAATTTCGTAGATTTCAAAGCTGCCTTTGATTCGATTGATACGCAGTTTATTTGGAGAAGTATGCAGTGTTATGGCCTCCCTGACAAGTACATAAGAGTAATGAAGGCTTTCTTTTCTCAGACAGTCAGTGTTATCAGGGCCAACGGGGAAGTAACGGATTAGTTTGAGGTCAACTCAGTTATAGAAGTAGAACAAGGAGATATACAGGATCCTCCGGTCTTCAACTTTTGTCTCAATTTCTCTGCATACCTTATGGAACTTAACAAGGCTATTAGTAAGGGGGCTTTATTACAGCTTGCATCTCCTGGGGTAGAAGAGAAACATAATATCTTGGACACTGACTAAGCTTATGATATGGCCATGTTAGACAACTCAAAGGAGGGGTTGAAGGAAACCACGCCTGGCAAAACACAGAGCGGGGCTGTCAGCAAAAGTGCATCACAGAGGCCGTTTTCTAAAAACGACCACGTGGAAGGTCTCCCAGTACAACAGGTCAGCAACTTCACTTAATTGGATGCTATCATCAGTGCAGATGGAACAATTGATAAAGTCAAATAACTCTAAACTTGCATTCTAAAGGCCTCTGGGGCAATCTATCAGCTCAGCAGCATTTGGTACAGTCACAACATTGACACGCCAACTAAAATCAGGATATATAAACTGGCTGTTTTAACTATAATTCTTTACAGAAGTGCACCACTGAGACTCGTATGAAAATATTTGAGGTGTTGCATCAGAGATGCTTAAAAGAAGAATCATGAAAATCAAATGGAACTATCATGTATCGAATGCTGACGTACGAGCAGATAGACTCAGATGGTTTGGTCATGGGGTGAGGATGCAAGAAGAGATAATACCGAACTATTTTCTACACTGGATCCCAAAACATGGCAAAAGGTGTAAAAGCAGTCCTCGCAAGAACTGGTTATCATGTGTCCTTGAGGATGCAGCTATTCTCATAGGTGTCGATAATATCGCAATGGAAACTGCAGTACATCAATCAACAAACAGGGTACATTGGAGAGGCCTCGTAATCGGAAAAAGGAGTTATGGTGTGGTGCAGGCCAATCCAACGACTAGGAGGAGACCTTTTCAAATGCAAGTTAGTACTTTAAGCCATGACACTGTGAAGTTCAATTTACTGGATACAACTTGAGGAGGGTCAAAAGGTTGAGGTGAAGAAGCGAAGAGAGGCCATCGAAGCCGTTGAAAAGATCAAAAGGTACATTAAAACCCGAAAATAACGGTCTAAAGATAGAATATATTATATACACTTCAATAATATTTATAATCAAATAATTTCAATTTACACAATTCGATTCAGTAGAAGAAGAATGTTCTTCACACGAAGATCTCGTTGACAATCCAAGGATGTTTTACAAGTTTGCGAAGGGGTAGCCTGTGTTCAGTGTTTGGGTCCAGACAATCCAAGATGAGCGAGTAACCATCAGAGCTGACAGAGTTTGGAGGTAACATCTCCCACCTCACGTTATTCCGAGCAGCATCAGCAGTAGAGAGAAGGGGTTTAGAACCGGACAGGAGCTCGAACAGGAGACACCCCACAGACCAAACCACACCACATTTAGGGGTGTAGGACCCGTGTCGGTACAGTTCAGGAGGTGTGCATGTGGTGGAGGAAGAAGGGAGTTTCAGGGAGTGAGGCAGGACCGAGAGCACGGAGGAGAGTTGGAAGTTTCCCAGTTTTACCTCGTTGGTTTCCAAGTCTAGGTAGATGTTTTTAGTGGAGATATCCCGGTGATCAACTCCGTTGTTTAAGCAGTGGACAACAGCGGATAGCAGCTGCTGGATGATGTCTCTAACTTGGTCTTCGTTAAGAATGTTGGCTCTGATGACGTCAGAGAGAGGTTCCCAGCTACTGGAGTACTCCAAGATCAGGGTCCAGGTCTTGCTCTCACTCCGGTAGGAGTAGTGGAGGAGTCTCTGGATGTTAGGATGTGAGAGTTTGAGAAGGTTGTAAACTTCTACAGGAATCAGCTCGTTGGCAGATGTGGTAACAGGCAGAGTAGGGGAGTAGGGGATAGTCTTCAGCAGAACTTCCATAATAAGAGATTGTTGAATGTTGATAATGTGATGGGATAATTTGAAGTTTATTAAAATGTGATATCGGTTAAAAAGTGTACCCTGTATTTATAGTCTTGTAATCACCTCGCGTCACAAGGCGTACACGTGATCTTGTCACGTGATTAGGTGACTGACTGCTGATTACATGCCACAACGTAAACAGGGAGGTGAGATAGGGAAAATGTTTTGACAAGTGGGAGTCGATCATGTGATCCCATGATTGCATATTCGTCGCAGAACTATGTCGAATCGTATCATGTGATTAATTTTCAAGGAATTTCGTAAAGCTACCATAACAAGGTGGAGGGAACTGCCTCTTTGCAGATAAGATATTATCTGATTACTGAACAATCGTGCAATGAATGTGGTGTAATCAGGGTGAACTGGGTAGCTGCTTGATAATTGTGGAACATCTTAATTACAAATTGTGCCTAAAGCACGTAGTATTTTACCAAACGCCTTAAAGCCACTATTTCTTATTGCTCTAACAATTATAGAGCTGTAACATTGAGGTCTACAGCTTCAATGCTTCTGCTTATGATTCTCCTGCGGAGACTAAGCAATGGCATGGCATGGAGAAATTTCTCTTGGAGAACCAATATGGTTTTAGACAGAATCGCTCCAGTATGGGCAAAGTCTATTCACTCCGTTTTACTTATTATACACCAATGTATAGAACATAATATTCCTGAGCTGTATTATATCAGTTTAGTAGATTTTAAAGCTGCTTTTGATTCGATTGACAGGCAGTTTAATTGGAGAAGTATGCAGCATTATGGCCTCTTTAACAAGTACATCAGAATGATGCGGGCTTTCCTTTCTCACACATTCAGTGCTGTTAGGGCCAACGGGGAAGTAACGGGACAAGGTGATATGCAGGGTCCTCCGGTCTTAAACTTTAGTCTCAATTACTCTGCAAACTGCATTATGCATACCTTATTATGGAACTGTACAAGGCTTTTAATAAAGGGGCTTTGATACAGCTTGCATCTATTGAGGTATAAGATAAACATAATATCTTGGACACTGACTACGCTGATGATATGGCCATGTTAGGCAACTCAAAGGAGGGGCTGCAGGAAACAGTTGACCGTCTCTGCAAAATTACAATGCCTATGCGGGTCTGAAGATTAATGCTGGCAAAACACAGAGTATAGTTGTCAGCAAAATTTCATCTCAGAGGCAGTATTCTAAAGACGACACGGTGGAGGTCTGCCAATACAACAGCAATTTCATTATTTTGGCGCTATCATCAGTGCCGATGGAACAATTGATAAATAACTAATATAGCATTCTAAAGGCCTCTGGGGCATTCTATCAGCTCAGCAGCATTTGGTGCAGTCACAACATTAAGATGCTAACTAAAA